ATACACTGCTCGCCAACAGCCATGAAACTACCCCAATTTCCGGAAAACGATATTATAAGTCAAAATAGGTCGAAAATCACTTCAGATTCGGAATCAGGACGCCCAATACACTAACTGTTCATATTTTTCCTGGAAAATTTCTAGTTCTGAAAAATTTTCGCACTTTTTTCGGAAGCACCCCCGTATATTACGTAATTGACTTCATCGTTGGACTTTCTCTTCCTCCTGCATATTTCAGAACCCTACCTCAATAATTACGTGAGATACGGGGGAGCTTCCATGAGAAGTGAGACAAAATTTAATTTTTCTGAACTGAAAATAAAAAGATACAGGGGTGGTTCCATTAGAAGTGGGTCACACTGTATAAAAAAGGTAACTTTGTTTAGGAAATTTTCTCATGATAGATATTTTACATTGTTTTGTTTTTCGCCAAATGTTCGATATTGACTATTATGAGCCCCCCTTATTGGAATATTGTATGAGTGCCCAAGTGTGTTTATATGTATGAACTATCATTAAACAGTTGTTGAACATTTATTTTAAACTTCGTAGAAGATATTCGACCATTAGTATTTTTCTCATCATCAGTTTTCGTATAATTCGTAAAAGTTGTGTGTTACTATAAGAATCACTAGGTATATTCTTATAAGGCATCGCGAGGGGGCTTCCTCCCCCCTCCCCTGAATCCGCTTCTGTCCAGCTTTATGTGAAAAATGTCCTACTATCGCATTTAAAGCCCGCCTCTGTTTTTAATGACCCTATGCATTTAAATAACCCTCATTTCGTACATTTCTGTACGTTTAATTTTCGTCTGCGACTAAAAACGTTTGAAAAATGCTAAAAAATATAATGGTTTCCACCAGGGAGCACAAAGAATATCGAATAGGGAATAGGTAGCTACAAAAACTACCCACTTCTCAACTAAACTACTTACCAGATGAAGTGGGACAGCCAAAAAATTGACGAATTTTGATGAGCTATAACTCGAATATTTCTCGGCCGATGTTGGATTTCCAACCAAAGGTATTAGAAAGCGTCATCTTTGTGCTATACGTCATTGGCGTCGGGTTTTCATTTTTGCGATTCGTTCTCTTTGTACAGAGTGTGAATTAAGAGTCGGAAAAATTTCAGATTTTTGTCCAATAATTTGGGAAATGTGAGGGACCCTAGAATTTTTTTTAGGATGTTGGGTGAATGGTTGGTCCGATACCTCGAGACGTCTTTGAAATTTTTTTTATAAATTGCGTTGCTATGGAAAAATCGCCATTTTATGAAATTCCATTTTTATTTCGAAATGTGCGGCATCTTAGTTGAACAATGACAACCAATATCAAAAATGCAACAAAGGATATTTCTACTGGAGATGATTAACACCAGTGGCGCGCAAGAAGGGGTTTATGATATTTAGAAACGAGAAAGTCGTTTGTTTTGGAAAAATCCAACTGTTTTTGATCGATACAGTTGGACGTGTTGTACCCTTAATTAGCATGATGTTGACAAATTCAGAGGCGTGCAGAAAAGGGGCTTATAATATTAAGAAAAGAAAAAAACGTTTTTATTGTAATAAAAACAACAGATTTATTGACCGTTACAATAAAAAAGTTGCCATAGTAATCCATTGACGTATTAAAGAGGATCCATCATTCAAAGCGATTCAAGAAGTTTGAGATGGCATCATTTTTAATGATTTTATCAAGTGTTGTTCTTTGTTCGCCCAGTAAAAAGGGAGTACCCAGCTTTCAGGGAGTTAAAAATCAATAATTTCGTAACTTTTTCAACATCAATTTAGTGTCTGTATAGGTAATGATTTGCCCCGAAATGTCACTGCGTTTGAAAATTTAGAGCCTAACAGATTGTATGTACCTTTAACTAGAGGATAATTCATGTTGATTTTGAACGTTTACCAGGAACCTCAATGATTTCCAATGATTGTTCTTTCTTGTTCTTGTTCTAAAATTGTTCTTATCCATCATTCGGTTCCCCCCTTACGAGCATCCCTCAGAAGTCTTCAAGAGACTTGTGCTTGCAAGGAATGACGGGAGTCTTACCTTTTAACGTGTGATCCCAAACACTTTCTTAGGCCATCAGAAAATTTTCTGCGGGCGTGGTGGGAACCAAACCCACCTACCGGCAATCCAACATGGATAGAACATATGACAATGTTGCCACTTCTCAGAATTTGTTCGACATATTCGTAAGAAATAGTTATAACGCTGTTGCCAATCAAATTTTTTTTTATGAAATTTTGCAATTATCTTCATTGCAGAATGCTGAATCCAGTGGTAGAGTCGAATATGTTTGAGAAACACATAGTATACCCTGAAAATTAGAATCATAATTTGCAAATTTGTGGAATCGAATACCTTTTGATAATCTTTCTGCCCCAAAACAGGAAAATTAAATATTTTGTTGAATTTTAAAAAATGTATAACCAACTCAACGATATTATTATGGAAGGCAAAGGATTGGCAACTTCAAATGAAATTTTGAATATTTGTGGCCTTGAGGGCTGTGAAATATCATTTGAAGATGGAAACCATTTGAGGAAGGATCAGAAATGTATATGTATAATTCTTGATAATGATAACTTAGCAGCGTTGGATCGGCTTCCTCCTTTCAGTTCTTCGTACTGTATTAGCGAAACTGTTCATCGTTCGTGAAGTTTTCTCAAATTTACTTAGGATTTCCATTCAAAATCCAATGAGGAAGATCTCTTTTAATCAATGAATCATGATTTACATTTGATGTACAATCAATATTATAATTTGAAGTTGAAGGGAATCGAATCTATAGCGTTTTGAAATCAACATATTACCCCATTCGATATTTCAAAAGCCGCAGATATGAAGTTGGAGCCGTGACGTATTAGTCCCGAACTGTTGCTATCTCTCTCTGATACCTTGCCATTCTGCAGTGTTGCAGTGTGATTGGTCAGCTCAAGGACAATGGGCGTGTACACCTTACTAAAACTTTTAACTCAAACCATGTTTATAATGATCCTTTTATACATAAATAACGATTGACGACATAATTTGATCGAAAAATTATCTGGAATGTTTTATTTTTGGACATAAATAATAGTACCTTCTGAAAACGTACCCTCTTATAAAAAATACCAAACGCCCGACGGAGACTGAGGCAACTGATATATTAATTCTTTCAACTGTGATCTCGCGCTAATTCGATCTGTCAGAAATCATGTATCATTCATCTTTGTCTGGAAGGGTCTTGTTTCAGTATTAGGGTTTTGACGTCACATCATCGCCTCGTTTTCAGAGGTCCGAAAAATCGGGGATATCAATAATTTTTTATAAAACGTAGGGAGCTCACAGCAAAAAACGGTTTGCGGTGGTGAGCTAGTTTGGGTGAGCTCTATCGAATTATGAAATACATTTTTTTTGTGATATAAGCCCATTGGCGTGTTGTGACTAATACCAACGAATTTTGTTCGAATTTGTGTATGGGATGGGAATGGTTGCAGAGCAATATAACACACACTAAGTGATCGATTATTTTCTTTTTCAACTTCACAAACGATAATATTTCTGGTACTGTGTTACTGTGTTAGCAACGCTGTGAGTCTGACCGGAGATATGGTTTTTTTCTGCAGAAATTCTGGTCTACTTTGAAATTTCGTTAACACCAATGGGCATGTTTTTGTACCATCCCTTTGCATTTCCATTTTTCCAAAACGTATTTGGTGTTGAAAACAATATATCTGAAGAAATATGCTTGTTTCGTTTTTTAAGGAGCATTTTCAACAATCTTAGAGGACACACGTTCGGATTTTCTTTATTTGTAGTCAATCACTTACTCTTACTGCACCTTTTATCTCCACCTTGAGATGTTTTAGAAAAGACTGTGTTGTACTTCACTGCCTGTCAATGTCCCATTATTGGATTTTTCGGCTTTGAAATAATAAATTCTACACTGCGCACTTTCACCACCTCTCCAGGCGAATTCAAAAGAATTCAAAAGCGACAATATAAAACAGTTTTTTTTTAAGTCCCATTGTGTATTTTCATCCCACTGCTCTGCCATTTTATAACTTCTTCTTTACTTAATGGTATAGAACTTTGTCCTCATTTATCTAAATTGCTCTGCAGTTGCTTGCATTCAGCATTTTTAGCGTTTATAGCGGCTTGAAATGTCACATCTTTGAATGGGTCAAACACAATCTTATAATCCATATTATATTTTTCTTGCATAATTTTGGCTACAGTATTCCACATTGTTTTTACTACGTACCTACTCCTTGTAGTCATTTCCGTCTGATTTCCTCATATAATACGCCCAATCTGCCAATATGCTTGAGATTTCTCAGATTTCTGGCTGCGATAGCGAGATGGTTGCTCTCAAAAGAGTGTATACAATTGCTATTCAATAATAAATTGAATTTATGTGACATGAAATAACTAAAAAAAAAAAGATGTCGTCGCCGAGGGGCTAGAACCATCGACCTTCGTAACTTCGCGCAACAACACTATCAGTTGCGCTACATCATCTGGTAATTATATAATTCACAATAACTTGAGTGATTGAAGAAGATTACTTTTAAAAGGAATTTGAATTCTAGTATTGTTGTGTCAGACCGTCAACAAATATGCAAACTTTTTAAATTACACATGAAACGTCCAGCCAGCATAAAATTTTCTCGCCTTTCGTACAAAATGTCTCACTAACGCGAATTATAAGTAAATAATATAAAGTAGGAACTTAGGTTATTGTCTCAGATTTGAATCCAAAGCAATCTTGACCAGACACGCTGATAAACGAGGTTTGTTGGTCACCTGTGGGTCAATTCGGCTTATGTATTGGTAGAGCAAGTCCGATAAAATTTAATAAACAAACAATATCGCTAGAATACATAAGAAACCGTGAAAATAGTCGATTCTGATTGGTTCTCGAGATCAAGAGTGGAATAATCAGATGAAATCAAGGTGAAAAATTGTCTTGTTTCGATGTTCTTATTCCTCTTCTAGGTCAGAGCGACGGGCAAGATGTACGCGTGCAAGAAGCTGGAGAAGAAGCGCATCAAGAAGCGCAAGGGCGAGCCGATGGTGCTCATCGAGAAGCAGATCTTGCAGAAGATCAACTCGCGCTTCGTGGTGAACCTAGCGTACGCCTACGAGACCAAGGACGCCCTCTGTCTGGTACTAACGATCATGAACGGCGGCGATCTCAAGTTCCACATCTACAACATGGGCGGCGAACCCGGTTTGGACCTGGTGCGGGCAAGGTTCTATGCAGCGGAGGTGATATGCGGGCTGGACCACCTTCATCAACAGGTCTGTGTGAGATAGACAAGAGTTCCTAAATGTACTTGACACTGCTGTTTTGACTCTCTTATCATGAATGCTGGTGTTCTGCAAGGATCAATTCTAGCACCAACACTATTTCTACTCCATATCAACGATTTGTTGGAAGCAACTTCATGTCGAGTACACAGCTTCGCGGATGATCGTACCGTCCATATCGCCTTCTCTTCCAGGGCTCCAATACCAGCCAGGCAAATCAGAAACGGACGAGGGAGAAATGTCGACAACATAAATAACTTGGTAGATTTCAATGCGAACAAAACACAAGCATGCCTTTTCTCTAGAGAAGCCGATCTCACTGTGCCGAACATAAGCATGTCAGGACTAACCATACCTTTGAAGACATCCATTTCGATGCTTGGTATTACTATCAGCAATAACCTTACTTGGGAAAATCACGTGAGATCAATTGCGAAAAGTGCATCCCAAAAACTTGGTTTTCTGTTTCGGGCCAGGAGCTATTTCACTTCCAGTCAGCTGCTTATGATCTATAAGGCACAGATCCGACCTGTCCTGGAATACTGTTCCCATATCTGGAGTGCAGCACCCAAACATGCTCTGAAACTGTTGTATTCGTCTCGTGGGTGATGCCGCGCTCACAAACTCACTCACTTCTCTGGAACACCGCAGAAAAGTTGGCAATCTGGCTCTATTTTATAGATATTTTCATTGACGATGCTCTTCTGAAATATAAAAAATTGTTCCTTCCTTGGCAGTCCCTGCGAGATTAACCCGTCGAGTTGAGGCTTCGCACCCCTTCGTTGTCACTTTGGAGACCTGCAGAACATCTCTTTCTAAAGACTCGTTCATCCAACGAACAGCGAGGCTCTGGAACACATTGCCATAAGAGGTGTTCCCCGAGGCATATAACCTCCAGAAATTTAAGAAGAACACCAATTCCTACCTTATTTCCCTTGGTTCTCACGATGTTCTCTGAACATTACAGGATATTCCTTTTCGTGGGAACCAGAACATAAAAATAATGGGCATCTTATTTTAAACTGATGCAATTGGCAACACTGTGTATGTATTATTAAATATTATAGTTTGATATTTTTTTGCAGGGCATTGTATATAGAGACTGTAAGCCAGAAAATATTCTATTGGATGATGCAGGTCACGTGCGGATCTCGGACTTAGGATTAGCTGTAGATATACCAGAAGGAGAATCTGTGAGGGGTCGAGTTGGTACTGTAGGATATATGGGTAAATACTCAACTATACAGTGTCTTTTTACAAACTTCGTGACATAGTATGAAACACTCTCAATAACATATTTTATTTCGAAATTTGACATGACATGGGCGTTGAGTTTTTCTTGAAGAAAAATGAAAATTGACCTGCTCGGTCAGTTAGTAGCAGCTTTTAGCTCCAGGTTGTGTTGTCTCTTGACGCGGAGCGGAGGGAGACTAAGAACCTGGAGCTAAAATTTAATATTTTTCCAGTGTATAATACACTATTTTTTTCTGTGACAGGAAAATGGACGAATCAATATTGAGAAGATATTACATTATATCGAAATCAGAAAATTATCGACGTGAAAGAAGTTTTTAACAGTTTTGGGCTATAACTCAAATTCAAGGAAACATTTTTGGTGGCAAACCTCAGATTCGTAATCAGCATCTTGAAAAAACATACTATATCTAAAACGCATAACTACTCCAAAATTTGTTTTTAAGAAACCACCTGATATCTGGACTATTCCGTCTTCCCTCATTATCGACAGAGAAAAGCGGTGGATATCGACACCCATCATTCCCTCGAGGGAATCTTTCTCTGGATTCAAAAATAATAATAATAGCTATTTATATATCAAGGAAGCAAAGGTATCCATTTCCTCCCGCGTGTGAAGTTTGATGCCGTTGATGTAAACACACATGGGAGGAAATGGACCTTTGCTCCCAAGATATATAGATTATTTTATCCACGAACGCATATTTGAGAGCGTCGTTTTGAAAATTGTGCTTCAAGTGGTCTCGAGTCTCGATCCAAATCAATGTGTTACATGATCTAAGGTTACAGACAGTATTTGACAGTTGACACTTCTGTCACATTGAATTTGTTTATTCGCGGAAATCAATGTTACCAGGTGACGCTCGGTTTTCATCGTTCCATGTCAAAGCCACGTCAAAACTGGGGGAAAACAAACTCAATCCTCACTCAATCCCATTAGAGCCATTAGCTTGTGTACTGTGTACTAATAAGAGTGATAAGTTTTCAAATGTCTTGACATTAATTGTCAATATTCGATCGAAAACGCTAATAATGCCTGTTGTAGATGTTCTTTTGGCAGATATTTTGCTCTATTTAGATGAAAAAAGCCGACCAGTAGTGGAAGGAGAAGCAGTTCTCCGTGCTAATCATGTGATTTTGTGTGAGGCAGAAGACTTTAACAAAGGTTTTTGCACTTTTTCTACAAACTCCGGCGATGAAATCTTCCCCACATGAAGTAAAATTGAAGTTGCGGTCCAGAGGAACTCCTGTAGAACAATGGATTTGTATTTTTTCCTGCAAAGCAGGACAATCTGGGTATTGCAAACATGGTAGCTGTTGTTTTATATGTCAATTGATGTGCTCGTCATAATTATTTTGAATTGTTTGAACTATCTCCAATTCTTCACCCGTTCACTGTTCACTAAACTAATAAAAATGTAATAATGTAAAAAAATTAACCAACTCGACCATCATCACCACCAACAGTGCCAACACTTTATGTCAATGACAAGTTTGACTACAGCTTCATCAAGCTGAATGCAATGTAGTCTATGCACTTTATCCATAGACAACAGTTTGTTTTCCCCCAGTTTGAAGTTCGTATTATGTAACCTAGATGTCGCGCACTTCGTGAATCTCGCGAATAATATGAGGAAGTGTATGAGATCATTGGAGTTCATGAAATTGTTATTTGTTTTATAGTAGTGATGAGGAGACTGATTAGGTACTTGGGTAGCACAGATCTCATACGAATAATATCTCTAGTCCTTAAATCAAGGAGCAAACGCCTACTTTCAATTCAGTGAGTAGGAAAAAGTTATTAACAATCCGTGTGCCCCTACCAGCGCCCGAGGTGATCGACAACGAGCGCTACACCTACAGCCCCGACTGGTTCAGCTTCGGCTGCCTCCTCTACGAGATGATCGAGGGCCAGGCCCCATTCCGCGCTCGGAAGGAGAAGGTGAAGCGCGAAGAGGTGGACAGACGCGTCAAGGCGGACCAGGAGCGCTACTCGAGCAAGTTCGGCGAGGAGGCGAAGGCGCTGTGTCAGCAGCTGCTGGCGAAGCGGCCGCAGCTGCGGCTGGGCGGGCAGGCGGGCCGTAGTGGGGCGGCCGCGGTCAAGCAGCACGCGTTCTTCCACGGGCAGATCAATTGGAGGCGGCTGGAGGCGGGCATGATCGACCCGCCCTTCGTGCCTGACGTGAGTTATATGAATTGTGACGAATTAACAATTGAATTGAGGATCTTTGAACGCGCTGATTGGTTCATTTAGATAACTCGAACAGTCAGCACCTCAGATTCCTAATTCGATTGTCCATTGAATTATTCTTTCAGGCTCTCTAATAGTGAAATTCTCAAATGCAGTCTCATTTTGGGGCAAATCACCTGATTTGTTAGATCAAAATAGAAATAAGCGAAAGTAGCGTGACGTTCTACACCATATGTGTCACTCACTGTTGATTGAATGTTTCTTTTCTAGGATCTCTAATAATGAAGATGAAAGTCCAAATTCCCAGATAAATATGATGATGAATTTGTATCGGAATTTTTAGATTGTACTATATGGAAACAAAAACGAAGTTCCTATCACAACACTCAGTTTGTAGTTTTTTTGTCACTCAGGCTGAATCAATCGCGGGAAAGTACTTCCTACCTTTAACAGTTAAAATCTGCACTATTCCAGGGAATCTAGGTTCCAGGGATGCTCCAGCAGTTGAATTTGTTATGCGAACGCGGTACACCGTAAAACGTGGCTTTTTAATCACTATTATAGATTTTTGATCGATTCATCAATCGGGCAGTGCTCGATTCTGCTGTCTTCGCTCGTCGCGTCTCTCTGTTTCCTTTCTTCTCTGCAGGGGTCGCTGTCCACAGGATCGGAAGTAACTCTCAAGAACGCGAAACGGCGGTAAAATTCAAAAGGTATTCTTTGTGCATTATATAGGGGGAATATTAACTATCTATATAATATTATAAAGACTACAAACTAAACTAAGACAAGAATGGGGAAAACGTTTTTGAACATCTAAATTGTCATCTGCCTTGATCACCGCTCCAATAAGAGTGCTCATACCGTCCAACTGCGACATGTTCGCTGAAGTCGAATGTACGCGAAGGACTTGCTCGTCATAGAACAATTCTCGACAGTGGAAGGTGTCTCGCGCCTATCTCTGTTTCCTTTCTTTTCCGCAGGGTTCGCTGTCCACAGGATCGGAAGTAACTTTCATGAACGCGAAATGGCGGTAAAATTTAAAAGGGATTCTTTGTGCATTATATAGGAGGTATATTAATTACAGATGTATCATGAAGACTATACAAACTGAACTAAGACAAAAATAAGGGTTAAAACGTTCTTGAACATCTAGATTGTAGATGGAAATAAAATCGAGATTCTTCTTTCCAGCCCTACGCAGTATAAGCGAACTACGTGCTCGACATCGAACAATTCTTGACAGTAAAAGGTGTCTCGCGTCAATTTCTGTTTCTTCTCCGCAGGGGTCGCTGTCCACAGACTCAGAAGTAACTTTCATGAACGCGAAATGGTGGTAAAATTCATAAGGCATGCTTTGTGCATTATATAGGGGGTATATTAATCACCTATAATTTAAAAATAAACTATACAAACTGAACTGATACAGAAAGAAGGGTGAAACGTTATTGAACATCTAGACTGTAGATGGAAATAAATTCGATATTCTTCTTTCCAGCCCTACGCAGTATAAGCGAACTTCGTGCTCGACATCGGAACAATTCTCGACAGTAAAATGTGTCTCGCGTCTATTTCTGTTCCTTTCTTCCCCGCAGGGATCGCTGTCCACAGACTCGGAAGTAACTTTCATGAACGCGAAATGGTGGTAAAATTCATAAGGCATGCTTTGTGCATTATATAGGGGGTATATTAATTACCTATAATTTAAAAAATATATATATACAGGCTGATTTTAAAATGAGTGCATATATTCAAGACATATATATGAGAGAGTCTAACAAAAATTACTGAAATATTTGATTTTTCCTAAGTCTTCACATTAACGAAAAATTTCATTTTGAAAATTGAACATAAAATGCTTCGAAATTCGAGTACGCCACTGGGGAGCAAATGAAATCTGCGGAATCCCAGACAATCCTCAATTCGTCATTCACTAATGTCAAATCAAGACAGTGATGCCAGATTGTTTCAGAGACGAATATCCTGATAAAAATTTGTCACAGAATGAATATGAATTGGAATAGGTTATGGAAACTAATAGAGGTGAATGTAATATGTACAGAAGCCTTATTTTTCAAAGTTTACTGAGAGAACTGTGGGGTGATTATCTCCATGGATCACGAGAGACGGAGAGAAACATGAGGGGAATGATAGAACGTCCCCCTTCCTTCAATTCGAAAATAAGGCCCCAGCAGGTAGATACAAAATTAGCAGACAATAAATAGGTACACAACATACACAAAGTTGAAAATCGACTCACCTAGTAGATTTTCTCATACCTGCTCGAACAGCAAAACTCCCGAGAGCAAACAAATACTAATATCGAGTCCATCATATTATCTGTCAACATCATTTCTCAGAACAGTAGTATCTGTGACCATAGATTTCCTCTTTGCTGTGACCTTTGACAGTACTAACTAGGATTGTTCGCGTTCTATTCATGTTCTATTACTATTTCACGAAGATTGTTACGATATTACGATTTGTCATGAATCTATTACTATTTGCTATTAGCACCAAAATATGTTCCAATACTAAAAAATCTGTTTCTGTGCTCAGCGGATAATTATGTTCCGTTCTATGTTCTATATTCATGTCAAAACTGTGATTAGTGCGATAGGGTTTGACAAGAATGACATTCCGAATGTCAAATGTCAGATTTTTCGAGTCTATTACCTTTTGATACAAATCTGATACCTTTTTCCAAGGAAATCTATTACGAAAAAATCAGACCCAGGAACAACACTGACTAGTAAATGTAAAGTTTTGTTTCTGACAATTGGCTTGGAATATGACGATGCATTTCTCAAACATTGAGCTGAATGATATGGTTCTTATGTCGGGTCGTTATTGTGCGGGGCCCATGAGACTCCTCGAAGCAAATTGTAGCGATGCAAGGAGGTGGAATAAGGGTCTAAAGGATTTTTCAGTAAAAGAACTTCCAACCGTGAGGTGTTAAGCTATACGCTATTTGAGCTTATGTGTAGAAATCATGGGTGAGTCCATTTTAATGTTTTTGTATTATCTTTCTGAAATTAAAGACCAGGGTTAACTTCTCCCCCATGTACATTTTCTCGATTATACATTTTATTTAATATCTCCTAATTTTCATGTAGAGTGGCAACGTCGCTTCGTTCATCACGGTCGACTGCGGATCGCAAACGATAGTTGTGACAGAAGTAGAAATCTGGGCGGAAAAAGGGTATTTTGCCCCAAATCTATTTTGATCCTAATAATATTTTTAATAGTGCTATTCGGTAGAATACCTCAAGCTTTCTTAATGTTTAAAATATATGCACTTATTTTAAAATCAGCCTGTATACACACTGAACTAATACAAAAAGAATGGTGAAACGTTATTGAACATCTTGATTGTAGACGGAATTAAAATCGAAATTCTTCTTTCCAGCCCCACGCAGTGTACGCGAAGGACGTGCTCGACATCGAACAATTCTCGACGGTGAAAGGTGTGAACATAGACGAGAGTGACGTGACGTTCTACACCAAGTTCAACACGGGGTGCGTGTCGATACCGTGGCAGACGGAGATGATCGAGACGGACTGCTTCCGGCAGCTGAACTCGTTCGGCCCGAATTACTCCAGGACGCCCGATCTGGTGCTGCAGCCGGTGGAGATCTGCGAGAACGAGGGATGTTTTCCTTTTAGGCGGAAGGTGAGCGAAATTGTTCAATTCAATGGGCGTGTACACCTTAGTAGAACTTTTAACTCAAACCATGTTTATAATGACCCTTTTATGCATAAATAATGATTGGCGACATAATTCGATCGAAAAATTAACTGGAATGTTTTATTTTTGGACATAAATTATAGTACCTTCTGAAAACGGACCCTCTTATGACGTAAAAACCTCATCTCGCCATAGTTAAAAGAAAATACCAAACGCCCGACGGAGACTGAGGCAACTGAAATATTAATTCTTTCAACTGTGATCTGCGCTAATTCACTCTGTCAGAAATCATGTATCATTCATCTCTGTCTGGAATAGTATTGTTTCAGTATTAGGGTTTTGACGTCACATCATCGCCTCGTTTTCAGCGGTCCGGGGAATTCAATAATTTTTTATAAAACGTAGGGAGCTCACAGCAAGAAACGGTTTGCGGTGGTGAGCTAGTTTGGGTGAGTTCTATCGAATTATGAAATAATTTTTTTGTGATATAAGCCCATTCCAGACCGCATTCTCTAATAACACAACTCGATCCAATAGACGTCCTATGGACATCCTCCTCTGGACATCTCGGACATCCATAGGACATCCAGTTTGTATTCACTGGATGACGTATGTACATCCATAGGATATCGCGTTTCCAACTTTCAGCTATCCATGTGGTATCCGTCATGGACATCTACAGTGTCATTCATAAAGTCGGCATCATGGGAAAAACTTTTATCAATGACTTATTTTGAAATTCGAGTTGGACGTTAAGTTTTGCTTCAAAAAAGATGAAAAATGGCCTACTCAATCGGGGACACGTGACTCGCAACATGTCAAAAGTGAAATTTTTTCAAATTAATCGCTGAAAGTAGGCTCATTTGTTCGAATATCGAAAAAGTTTACTTGAAAAAGTTGTTTCTCTTTCAATTTTACACATGCTTCTCGAATTCGATTTTTCTATTGCAACTTTTAGATTTAAATTTTTTTTTTAATTTTTCGAAATTTCTGTAATATTTGAAGAATTGTTAATTCCACGAAACTACTTCATACCAGTAGCTTTTTCATGCTATACTTACTTTCAATTACTTATCATCACTGATTATGGACAGAAACATGATTTTCTTCAGAAAATGATAATACCCGGTTCCAAATTCTGTTAAGTATGTTTGATGCAAAGTTGATATATCGTCAAGCATTTAGAAACGAAATTCATTCAAACTGATCTTTTCAGTACTGAAAAAATAAATTCAAATGAATTTCGTTTCTAAATGCTTGACTCGAACATAACAGCATTTTGATGTTATGTTTGCATCAAACATAACAGAATTTTGAAGCGGAGATTATCATTTTCTGAAGAAAATCATATTTTTGTCGATAATTAGTGATAATTAGTGATTGAAAGTTAGTAGCATGATGAAGCTACTGGTATGAAGTAGTTATATCGAATTTACAATTTTTTTAATATTACAGAAATTTTGAAAATTTTTAAAAAATATCGAAATCTAAAAAATGTAATAGAAAGATAAAATCCGAGTCACATATGTAAAATTGAAATAGAAACAACTTTTTCAAGTAAACTTTTTCGATATTCGAATAAATAAGCCTACTTTCAGCGATTAATTTGAAAAAATGTCACTTTTGACATGTAGCGAAAGTCACGTGACCCCGATTGAGTAGGCCATTTTTCATCTTTTTTGAAGCAAACCCTGACGTCCAACTCGAATTTCAAAATAAGTCATTATTAAAAGTTTTTCCCATATGATGCTGACTTTATGAATGACACTGTATATGGTATCCGTCATGCGGACATCTATATGGTATCCGTTATGGACATCCATATGGTATCTGTCATGGACATCCATATGGTTACTTTTATAGGATGTCTAAGATCTATGCATTCATAATATATGGGAATAAGATTTGATCAATAAATAGAATCTATTATGTTCCTGATTGTTGAATTTATTGTAGATGTGATTATATTCAAGAACACCCTATATAATGTTTCACTTTCAGATTTTGTAAGGAGCTATTTCAGCTATGCCTGAATCGAATAGACTAGAACCAGTTTCGAAAAAAAATTACCTAACAAATCTGTTTTGTAAATCGACATTAATTGGTGAATGGAGAAAGGAAAAAAACTGACAAAAACCTAAACCCATTCAAATTTACTTAATCAGAAAAAAAAATCTGATCAATTAAAATGAAACAAAATAGATGAAGTCACAAGTTCACAGCATTATGTACTAGAACTTGCTACAGCCAGCACAATCATTACCAAAAAAATGCTGAAAAGAAGGTACCATTTCAATCATATGCAAACTTAGCGACGAAACATCCGAAACATCCACATGAATAGGACAGCTTACCTTCATGTTCTGACTCCAACAGACATTTGATATACCAAGCAACATACAACTGACATATTTGATTGTCCACAATATTGCGCTACTGAGACTACCAACCTTGCGTTAGACTGGATAGGAATACTTATTTTTATTCCATTTGGCGATATCTTCTTCTCTATCGATGTTGAAATGGGCGTGTACACCTTAGTAGAACTCCCAACTCAAACCATGTTTATAATGATCCTTTTATACATAAATAATGATTGACGACATAATTCGATCGAAAAATGTACTGGAATGTTATATTTTTGGACATAAATAATAGTACCTTCTGAAAACGGACCCTCTTATGACGTAGAAACCTCATCTCGCCATAGTTAAAAGAAAATACCAAACGCCCGACGGAGACTCAGGCAACTGATATATTAATTCTTTCAACTGTGATCTCGCGCTAATTCACTCTGTCAAAAATCATGTATCATTCATCTCTGTCTGGAATAGTCTTGTTTCAGTATTAGGGTTATGACGTCACATCTTCGCCTCGTCCGAAAAATCGAGGATTTCAATAATTTTTTTATAAAACGTAGGGAGTTCACAGCAAGAAACGGTTTGCGGTGGTGAGATAGTTTGGGTGAATTCTATCGAATTATGAAATAAAATTCTTTTGTGATATAAGCCCATTGCATGTAAAGTTTCACATTGAACTTTTACTACATAAGAATGATAAAGTTCAACCATAACTTGAGCTCATTTATTTGTTCACATAGGCCACATAATTTATACAGAAAATGTTCGAAAAAAATAGGCCTTAGCCTCCAGGACTAGCAGGGCAAATTTTTTGAATTCTTGACTTTGACATAGACCTCATGCTCTCTATAGTAACGCCAACTGGGGAGATGAAAATATTAGCCCTCTGCCCTCATTCTTTGAATATAAATGAATATCAATATGACAAGATTCATATGGTTCCTTGCAGACTTCCAGGATTCACTTCTACTTATTTCAAGGTTATTTTATCAACTTACTTTGTCAAGGAGTTCTTACATCTTTAGACAATATAGCATATATTCTCTCTCTCTCTCTCTCTCTCTTGTCCAAAAAAACAGTATTCTCCGGACTTGTTACGAAACCCACCATCGCAAACCGCTGAACAAGAATAATGTCAAACATCTGAGGCGATCCATCTTACAGTGGAGTGAAGGCGGACAAAATTCTTACAGTCGACTCCACCAAAGCTATACTTTATTGTAAGCAATCTTACAGGGACATGTTTCGAAGGTTTAAAGCTTCATCATCAGCATCATTGTTACATAGGAGTACTGTTCTGGAGGAAAAAAGTTATGTTTACATATAATTCATATTAGTGAAAATGTTATAAAAAAAAAATATAAAAAGGTTAAATGGGGACCGCAATTATTGCGGAACCCCTTTGTTAGGGAACTTTGAATAACATGGTAATAAGTATTTGGAGAAAATCGACAAAATTATTATCTTTTCATGCCAAACTCTCAAAAGAGTTTGGCATGAGAGTTTGGCATGAAAAGATAATAATTTTGTCGATTTTCTCCAAATACTTATTACCATGTTATTTAAAGTTCCCTAACAAACGGGTTCCGCAATAATTGCGGTCCCCATTTAACCTTTTCATAATTTTTTTTTTATAACATTTTCACTAATATGAATTATATGTAAACATAACTTTTTTCCTCCAGAACAGTACTCCTATGTAACAATAATGCTGATGATGAAGCTTTATAGCTTCAAAACATGTCCCTGTAAGATTGCTTACAATAAAGTATAGCTTTGGTGGAGTCGACTGTAAGAATTTTGTCCTGTCCAAGAATAATGTCATTCTCGAGTCTAATCCTCTTTCGTTTCACAGAAAAAACAACTCCCTCGGACCAGACCGATCCCGATCAGCCCCAGCCTGCTCAGCAAAGTGACGACGTCCACGGAGAGATGATGCCCGCGAATCGCCCCCGCGTTCTTCTGTCCGCAATGCGTCGCGGCCCGAGCCCGTCTTTCCCCGCCTCGCGAATGAGGAAGGCCCGTCGCTGCTCGGAAAACTCGAACGAAAAGTAATCTCCTTGGTTGTGGTCCGGGAGACGGTGTAGAAAAAGCGGCTTATTGTGGCAAAGTTAGTGAGGGAAAAGCATATACGTATTAATAAACAATACGGATCATAACGGGTGCCAGGATGAAGCCAAAAATATGAAACAAATGAATATCCATAAGGATTTGGTGGCATGATACGCATGCGCTATTATAGTGGTCATCAAAGACATGCGTTTCGGTGGACAATGACGTTTACTAGCCTTTCAATCAAAGCAGTATGTGTCTGATCGTTTCAAAAGGTCATGACATTCTGTTGTTTTTGTTTACGTTTCGCGGACATGTTTATTAGCGATTTTTCATCATATCAATTATGGTTCATTTATGCTATTCCTGATTTTTAAATTGAAAAGCGAGTACCTACTTAGGCAATGGGATAATGAAAATGGGATGAACATATCATAGGGAAACCAAATGCAAGTATTAGCATTTGATATTCTCAAGGGTAATTTTGTAACACTTCATCATTTGAAAAACGTTCCTACCAAGATAATAAAGACCTGTGGACAAAAATAAATAAATGATTCCATTCTTTCAGAATTTATATTTTCACTAGCATGTCCTGTATCATTCATAATCATTAAATCATCCTGAAATAATGAATTATATCCCGAAAATCCTAATGATAAAACATAAACATAGTCCATAAATGTCATGTCACTCATGTCAAAATATTCAAAATAATGAGTTAGGTTAGAATGAATGAGAATGATTGTCATTTGAACTTGCGTATTTGATCACGCGCAGTATCTCACTTTTCCTTATGGATAATCATTTGTCTTCAAAAATCGGCTTCATGTTTCGCTATGGAAACAGATAGAGATTATCCGTATTGATTATTAATACGTATATGGGGAAAAGGTGCCAGTTTCATCCATGGTGGAAATATAATATGGTGTGCTATTCACCTATCTTGAATTCGGCACGGCGACTCGGGCGACTTGATAACTACTAGCGATTGTTTTAGTCGCAGTGACGTATACGAAGATGCGTCGTAGCACACATGAGTAGATTGTAGATTAAAAATATGATTGTAATACAGTGTGTCCCACTTACCATGCTCACCATGAGTATCTTTTTAACGGTGAGAGATACGAGGTCGGTTAAATGACACCAAATGTGGAGTTTGTCAAGGCCAACTATAATGTGAAAAAATATTTTGATGAAATCTATTCGTTTTTGTTTTATACGCAAAAAACAGATTATGATCATTTTCATGTCTCCTCCGTAACTTCTTTATTTTTGAAGATATTCAAATAGGAATTTCACATTCTCATGGCAGTTTTTCAAAGTGATTTCAAAAAAAATATGAAATTTATACCAACTCTTCTAGAATTTGAAATATCGCCAGCACCAACTTTAGTTTTTCAAATGTAGGTCATAGCTCACTATGACTTAGTTACAAATTCCTTTTTTTTCTCTTACAGATGATTTGTCGCAGTAATAGTTTTGTGTTGATAACAACGGAGTTATCGTCATTTATACAAAAACAAAAATTGATTGGGAAGCCGCCATCTTGAATTTATAAATTTTAACAAGAAAATCATGATCTCCGACCTCAAAAACCCCCACTTACCAATTTTGAATGGAATCGGACCAAATCTTGTCCGCCATTTTGAAGCAGCCATTTTTTTTAATTTCAACAAATATTCCATATTGTATTGTCACCGAAATTATAAACACCTGCCAAATTTCAAGTTAATCGGAGTAATGGAATTTTCGTGGAAATTAAAAAAAATGGCTACTCCAAGATGGCGGACAAGATTTGGTCCGATTCCATTCAAAATTGGTGAGTGGAGGTTTTTGAGGTCGGAGATCATGATTTTCTTGTTAAAATTTATAAATTCAAGATGGCGGCTTCCCAATCAATTTTTGTTTTTGTATAAATGACGATAACTCCGTTGTTATCAACACAAAACTATTACTGCGACATATCATTTGTAAGAGGGAAAAAAAGTTATTTTTAACTAAGTCATAGTGAGCTTTGACCTACATTTGAAAAACTAAAGTATGTGCTGATATCTCAAATTCTAGAAGAGTCCGTAAAAATTTCATATTTTTTTCGAAATCACTCATAAATAAAGAAGTTACGGAGGAGACATGAAAATGATCAAAATCTGTTTTTTGCGTATTGAACAAAAACGAATAGATTTTATCAAAATATTTTTTCACATTATAGTTGGCCTTGACAAACTCCACATTTGGTGTTATTTAACCGACCTCGTATCTCTCACCATCAAAAGATACCCATGGTGAGCATGGTAAGTGGGACACACTGTATATCATATACCGAATCATAATATCCAGAAAAAAATAATACTTTGTATTCGAAATAAAAAATTCGGATGCTCTTTCGGTCAAACCAGAAGTGTTGGTCTGATACTGGCGAAATTATACAGATTAGGTCCATTGGGGTTCAGATTTCAAAACTGTTCAGGAATCGTTAGAATCGTTCTTCCACTGCTGTTTAAGAACGGTTAACTCATTATGAAAACCCAAACGCGGCAGAAGAGAACCTGCGAGAATTTGCGAAAAAATCACCGTTTTTATATCAAATCTAAAAAATTCATTTTATGGAAATGTCAGGTGTAAGGAAGAAAACAGAATTTTAGGAAAATTTAATGGTAAGTAAACTATTCCATCACATCAATTGTAGCTAGATTTTCAACATGTTGTCCCTTGTACATGCATGAATTTCGACACCCACCTGAAATGTTCAATGAATTGTGTATCTGAATAAAATGGCAGAGTCTCCTGAACATTTTTCGGTTGGTTTAACGAAAATTCAGGAATTATCAATTAGGACAATATCTTCAGCAAATTCAGCAAGAAACTCTTCACCACGCTTACTGAACATAATATTGAGAAAATATTGAAGAGAGCAATGAACAGCAGAATAAACAAAAATTATTATATACACTTCCTTCTTCAATTAAAAACGTTGTGATATGTGACTAACTGAAAACTAAATGAAAATGAGCATGCGCCAAAAATAATCCAAGAACGGTTCAGCTCGAGAGCAGGTACTGGTTTCGGATAGTCCCAGGACGATTCTGAAAAAACCCGAACCCGTAAAGAGTCTGTCCTTATTCACAAAATTAGAACGCGATCGACTCTACCGCACAAACTCCTGACAGTTATAGAACAGTAATTGTTCAAACCCGAATGAACCTGTATGAAATCAAACCGATGTACCAAATTTGAAACATCCATACAAAATGGGAAAAAATTACATTTACATCTATAAAATGACAAGTTCAATGACAAATCAAATGATTCTGGTGGTGGAATCGAGCAAATAAAACGCATCTTCTGATAAAAATGGCTCGTCCTCCATAAAATAAAATCAACGATTCTCCCAGAACCTTTTTGGACCCACCAGGTCTCATCAGCCGCTCTCGGTCTGCTGACAACTGGGACAACTCTACGCTTCGGGTATATCACCCATTTCGAAGACGCAGGGTATGGCAGGAAGTTATAGTCATGTTGTAGCCATCTAGTGGCAAAGCTCTAAGGTAGGATCCAGAAATCGCGACACACACTGTGTGGCGCTGCCATCTATAGTCACACGTACAGAACCTTACGTCTATACGCTACAGAGTGGTACTACAAGTAACCCACTCTGCTGACAGATGGCACTACCTGACATACTTGAGTGGATATTTCCACCGCCTATTCAACTGCTACATCTTATAACTAAGAGATCTAGGATGAACAGAGTTGTCCCAATAGCGAGACAGTACTACTACTACTACTGTCTCGCTCCTGCTGACAATTGGAGCAACTCTGTTCATCCTAGATCTCTTTGTTATGAGATCTTACAGTTGATTAGGTGGTGGAAATATCCACTCATGTATGTCAGGTAGTGCCATCTGTGAGCAGAGTGGGTTACTTGTAGTACCACTCTGTAGCGTATAGACGTAAGGGTCTGTACGTGTGACTATAGATGGCAGCGCCACACAGTGTGTGTCGCGATTTCTGGATCCTACCTTAGAGCTTTGCCACTAGATGGCTACAACATGACTATAACTCCATGTTATACCCTGCCTTTTTAATCTTCATTCAATATAATACAAATATTTCATTTCATAAGGAATGATGGATTATTCGAACGACGTAAGCGCTTGTCACCACAAAATGTATTCAACTTATACATCACCATTAAAACCGTTTGATCGATTATAGGAGGCTGCAAATTTTATTTCGTAAAATTACCTAGTGGTGAAGTGGACATTTTTAAACTACATATTTTCATTGATGAAAGGGTTTGGTGCCTTATCTGCGATAACTTTGCAACATATGCCACTTGAACAACATTGCTCCCGGACTATTGCAAAAATTTTACCGTAAAAAAATTGAATGATCGCCGCAAATATGACCTAGTTCCAGTCTAAGATCCGAACTAAGGTCGACCTTCACCTTTAGTATGTTGAAATTCAAAAAAAAAAATGTTTGCCTGAAAAAATTCTATAATTATTAATTGAAGATTCAAAAATCACTTCTTTTTATTCCTACCTATGTGTTTAATGGAAAAATTTTACATCAACCGTAAGTACAAAGCCTATAGGATATGCAAACGTAGGATTGCCTATATTTTTCCTGGTCCAACTATAGGGTTAGATATAAACAGTTAAGTTGGTCCTAGTTATCTTCACCTACTAGGGTTGCCTGCTAAAAGTCTGTCCTGAGATTCTACTTCGACGAAGAAAAAGACAGAGCCTTGTTAAAAAAATAGTCGTGATCACTAAAGTAGCACTTCACGCACTGGATACAAAAATGACTATTTCAATTACCAAAAGAAAGAACAAACACGTGTTGTCAATATCAATACAATGTTTAAGGCTGTTAACTGCTCCAATCATTTTTTATTGCATGAACTACTAACATGTCATTGGTAGAAATAAAATGAAGTTATTTTTGAATTGTTAATCAATTATAGCCTTGCCAGGATTTTTTCAGCACATACACTTCTTGGAGATATGCAAGTACCAGAACATTCTCTTCTTCACTTTCGTCTACATTTCGCATATATTTTCAATGAAGAATTCTGATACAAACGAATATTGTTTGGATAATTCTGGTACAAAATTTGAAAATAACAGTTGACAGTTAATTCAATTGATCGCCAGATATGTCTCAAATTACTGAAGCTGTGTTTAATGAACTGTGTTGCCATGGTAATGTGTTTAAGAAATCGTGTTGCCATGGTAACATGTTTGATGTTTTGAATGAATCACAGATCGACAATCCGTGATTAACCGATCATTTATCGTGGTATATGTCCGTACGCCAAATTCCGTTTTAGTTGTGTGAGAGAAAAAATGAATTTTATCCATTAGACGGGTGAAGATCGATACTATTTCGGATCCTCAACTATTCCGTTACTTTGCTCACGTCAACAACTGCTAAAAATCACCCGAAAACTTCACTCAATGTTGCCATGACTGATTAATATTTTTTTTGTTATACAAGGTGTCCTGAAGTTGAATTGCAATATTTCGCCAGTAAGAAAGTAGGACATGGAATATTTCGTTCTAGAGATACAGGGTATTGGATGTGATGTTCTGCATTCCTTTTTTCTTATCATCTTTCTTGTGGTGGTCATTTTTTGTGGTGGTCATTTTTTGTGGCGGTCCTTTTTTTTGAGATAACGGGCCATTATCGTACAAATTATCGAGTAGTTTCCGAGGGCAAGGAAATGATTCAACATCCTCTTGAAAACGTGCAAGATTTTGAAAATTATTTCATATCTGCCATTATGTAAAATTGAATACGTTTCAAGATTTCCAATTTTGATCATCAATGAGATGGTTGGGAGTTCAGTTGATATTGATTAACATAACTCATCTCAAATCGAATTGGAAGCAATTTGAGTATATTTTTCTCGGACCTGCCAATTTCCCAGAAAACTTTGAGGTTTTATAGGTAAGCCATGTTATTTGTCAAAAACAAGAACAAGAAACTTTTTTTTCTTCAATATTCCATATCAAAAGGACCCGCACAAATCAAATGCAATTTTGATTTCTGTCAATTTACCTGAAATTTAGGGGTGAATGTAGTTCGAAGTGTGCTGAACAAAAGTCTCCATGGGGTCAAACGATTTCTTTCCATAGATAGTAATGAAATATAGCTCAACTAATCAGCAAACTTCCTGAATTCCTGAATCCTTTAGTCAAGTGTTTTCTATACGTAGCATCAGAGGATTCACGAGAGCTTAGCACGAAAACTACTCATAGAAATCGTTTGACTCCATGGAGACTTTCGTTCAGCACACTTTGAACTACTTTCTCCCAAAATTTCAGTTAATTGACAGAAATCAAAATAGCATTTGATTCGTGCGGGGTCCTTTTTGGAGGACTCCTAATAATTTAATGAAAGATATTGAAGTTTTCTTCAAAATCTTGCATAAGTGCATGCACAACACAACAGAACTGTCACGGTAAATGATTTTTTTTTCACATTTTCTAGAAATACCAAATGATTTTTTATAAATTATATTTTTTAATGTGATTTTATATACTTAAATACCTCTTTTTACAAAGTGAGATTATTTTAGGGGTCATCTACTGTGATGGGACAACATTATTAGTTACTGGTTAGGATATCTAAAAACAAGAATAACGTTGTAACGTGTGCCAGTTGTCTTTGCTCAATCTAAACATTTTGTATGTATGTATTTTTTGTATCGAACTTTTCTTGTATATTTTGGATGAGGAATCTCAGAAAATGTGGGTTAGATTGCGAAAAGACACTGACTGTACAGTGAATGTTTTTCATTCCACTATCACATTTTCTGTAAACAAAAATATCTAGAATTGATGTACTTGAAAAAAGACCATTATATTATTTGAATATGAACACAGCATTTCAGTTCCTCCAATATTGCTGAGTAAAAACAGTGAAAATAGAGAAAAACTCGGAACATTAAAGTATTTGATAGGTCGAAATATTTTATCTTTTCATCTTCAGTAAACTAGATGAAAAGAAAATCCCTAGAAAATACTTGATACTTGTAAATAGTCAGAAAGCACTTGACCTTGAAAAAATATTATAAGAGATTTTTTTTCACATTGGCAAACCACAGAGTCAGGATGGATCATTATTCTTCATATCAAAAAAAGTTACTTCATATTATAAATTGAATTAGACTTTTTTTTTACTTTGCATCAGAAACAACTAGTTACTCTGTTATTTCCTGTATTTTACAGTTACTTCATATTATAAGTTGAATTATAGACCTTTTTTTGATTTTGTAGTCAAGTGAAGCATACCTAAACAGTATACAGGGTGATCCACGGTGAATGGCCTAGAAGTATCTGGAGAACGGAAAGACAGAACTTTCTGAGAATTGGGAGCTTTGATGATTGAACATTCTCTATCCGTCTATAATATTTTCATCGATACAGTGTTGTCACTTCTATCAGAAACAGCAAGCAACTTCGTTATTTCAAATGGAGCACCCTGTATATTATTGCATTTTCAGATTCTTCCTGAAGAGCTGATTTCATCGATGCATCACACTTGGGGTCTAGCAGGAGTGATTACAGAGATATAGGGTGTTCAAAATAGAGATTTTTCAATTTTAGGAATTTTTTGTGTCAAAACTTCATTATCGATCAAAACGGCTTACATGTCCCTTTCCTTTCGATTCACTATCTACTGACATTCAATTAGAGCAGATACAGGGTGATCAGAATTCTGAATCTTGAAGCACCCTGTATTTTTTCCAATTAAATTCCAGTAGATAGTAAATCAAAAGTTGAGATTGGGACATGTAAGCCGTTTTGATCGATAATGAATAGGTTCGACACAAAAGAATCCTAAAATTGAAAAATCTCGATTTTGAACACCCTATATCTCTGTAATTATTCCTGCTAGACCCCAAGTGTGATACATTGATGAAATTAGATTTTTAAGAAGAATCCAAAAATGCAATAAAATACAGGAAATAACAGAGTAACTAGTTGTTTCTGATGGAAGTGACAATACTGTATCGATGAAAATATTTTAGACGGATAGAGAATGTTGAATTATCAAGGCATCCCAATTTTCAGAATGTTTTGTCTTTTCGTTCTCCAGATACTTCTAATAGGCCATCCACCGTGGATCACCCTGTATAAAAAAATCATCAATTTTCATATGGTGGTAGAAAATAGTCATGTAATGTTCTTTTTGTAATTTTATTCTTCTGAAAACCGAAACACAATATAATATAATATATAAAAATATATAAAAATATATAAAGAAGCTCAAAACAGGCATATTGCTAACAGTTACAAGTATTTATTCGACAGATGCGAGTGTATTATGTAATTGAATGTGTCTCTTTAAACATTCACAATTCACAACTCTAACGGAAAGTTGAAACTACCCGGTGGACAGTTGTAGGAATCTATGACAATTCAGTTCCAAATCATTATTCAACTGTTACTAGACTGTGTTTTAGACATATGCAAGTTTAAGGCAGTAGTTGCAAGTGTCTTGAACAGTTGTGTCTATTAGACAATTACACGCACCACTGCCTGGAAACTATCTGAGACGATTATTTTAGCTATTGGGCAGTTAACAAGAGCAATAATGTCAATTATACAGTTGAGAGTGAATTAGGAAGTTGCAAGTGTTCATATTAAACACAGTTACAAGTGTATTAGGCTCTTGAAAATTTCTTGCGATCTAATAGACATTCACAAGTGAATCAGACGTTTGCAAATGTCTATCAGATAGTTCCAAATATCTATTGACAAGAAAGTGTATTAGACAGTTGGAAATGTCTGTTAGATAGTTAAAATCGTGTTTTAGACGTCTGCAAGTGTTTCATAAAACAGATGCAACTGTCACTTAGTTGAAAATATCTACAGATAAATTTGCAAATCTATTAGACGATTGCAATTGTCTGTTAGATAGTTGCAATTGTGTTCTAGGTACCTATAAGTGTGAGTATAGAACATTTTCTGCAAGTGTCTTTGAACAAACTTGCAAGTGTATCCATCTGCAAAGGTAGTTGCAAATGTCCACAAGAGATTCAAGTGTCTGATAGACACAGTTGCAAGTGTCAATAGATAAAGTCATGAGGCAGACAAGTGTCAATTCAAAAGTACTGTTTCAGACATCTCCATTTGTATTATGAAATAATTGCAAATGTCAATTAATTAGACATCCATAGAGGTGCGTATATCTCTACTTTGAAATTGGGAACCAACTCTCCATAAGTCGTAACTATCTAATACACAGTTGCTAATATCGATTAGACATTTGCAAGTGTTGATAATGATAGTTGAAACTGTAGTTGTGAGTGTCTAGACAGTTGCAAGTGTATGAGACAGTTGCAAGTGTATAAGACAGTTGCAAGTGTATAAGACAGTTGCGAGTGTTTGTCCAACAGGCAGTTGCAAGTGAGTCAGGGGGTTCCAAGTAACTGTTAGACAGTTGAAATTATTAAATCGGCAATTGTAACTATTACTAGACAGTCACAAGTGTTCTTGGCAGTTACAGATGTCTATCAGACAGTTTTAACTGAAGAGAAAGAATCCTTATGGTCGTTGAACGACACAATTAGTGACCGTCGCATACGTCTCTGAATAGTAAAAATCGCAAACGGCCGCGTTATTCTCAAAACTCATTTCCGGTACTTTGAATTCGGGATTGACGGCAACTTTCATCGTGTATTTACCAGGGTCCAAATCGGAGATGTCCACCCACTGGCAGTCGACGGTGTACTTGTATATGTCCGAACAATTGACTGAAATGCCTTGGTCGCCGTAATTGGCGCAGGCGAATACCGGTTTCACTCCCGGCATGCACTGGTTGTCTTCCAGACAGAAGGAGGCTTTGTGGCCCTCCGCTACCCTTTGGCCGGTGCTGTTGTAGATGTTGAACGTGGCGAATACTTCCATGCTGTGGTAGTGCCTGATGAAGAATAAAGGGTTGTCAAGAACATTTTGATCTCGAATAATAGCCCAGCAAACATGAATAGGTGGTAAATAGCCAGGTCATAGCCGTCAGCAGCGGATATGTGTCGGCAGCGGCAAACCGATATCGGCGAAATGTAAGAATGACATCGGTTGTGCCGCCACGGCTTATTTATTATGTTTTTTTGTCATCCATCTCGAAATTGACCGTTTTAGATATGTCTTAATCGCTCCGCTGTCGATCTGACGCTGGAGACTAACTCCATAAACAAATATTGTAGCACAGTTTAGGGAATGTATGAATATTCTCAAAACTGTGAATGGAGTACCACAATGATATATTTCCAGAATCCTTATGCATTTTTAATGGTTGTTCCCAGCCATATATCTACTATTTCTATACCATATCTCAACAGAAATGGGACCAAAATGAGAGGTACTTTTTTTATCTATAAGGACGGAAAGTGAAGGATGGAAACTGATGACGTGAGGATCAGATTCAAAGTTAGGTTAGGTTCGTAAATAATTATTTGATCATAATAAAATATTAAAATCATCGATTGTTGATAATACCACAGTATAATATCACAGTATAATACCGTCAACTTCGATTTATTCCTTTATAATGTGGTTAAAATATGGCAAAGCATAATGTCAGTAACTTTAAGGAACAGGAAAGAGCCATTGCAGATTATAATGAAATAAACTGTGATAATGGTTTCATTCAGTTCGATAGAATCTCGAAACTCACACCCTTTGGTCCAACATTATTGCTTCAGATCTTGGTATTGAATATTGAATATAGGCCATGGTTAACCTAGGTATATGTATTCTTTTTAAATGTGGTGAAAGTGATCTACTCAAATCTGTTTAGCCTGATAGGAGTAATAGGACTACACTACACTACTTGTCATTTACTAATTCAAACTTGGTTTACTTTTAGGAAATTCCCATTATACTATGCTTGTTGCTGGGTGATTGATAACTCCATTGATAATATATGAGATAAATGATGGGACTGAAGCTCCATTGTCACACTCATGTTGAACCAACCATTACCTACAAAGCTTTGGATTTTATCAAATGTTATCATGTTTTTTTATTAAAAGGTGAAATAGCCTTAACTAGTACCGTTCTACCTATGCATCAGATAAGATATTATTATCAAAAGCTTTCTCCTAAATCTTAACTTCAGTTCTATGATTTTTAGTTTCAGGTCTACCTACTTATTTGCAAGCCCAAGATTTTTAAAATTCAAACTTACCCGTGGAAAGAGGATTTCTTTCTATTCTTCACCCGCAAATACTGCATTTCGTTCCACTAGACATGGTTTAAAAAGTTCAGTCCATGAAAAATTTATGAAAACACAAACACTAAATAATTGTATATCTAAAAACCCAAATATTAGAGTTTCAATCACTATCAATCACATACGACCTAAAACCAATTTGAAAATTTGAAATTCGTAGCCATATTGGTTTAACAAGTTTCGTATTATTTTTTTCCTACGTCGGCTCAACGCCTATTGGTCGATTCCGTTACCTATAGAGACGGAAGTTGGTCCCGCTTTGAGGACAGCTATGCTTCATATAATTGCTATGGTGATATAATCTCATTTTTAAAGATTTATTTCGGAAAAGAACTCAACAAAAATCAAAATTAGGTACCTAGTGAACAGTTAGAATTCTAAAGTCAGACTAGCTATAAAATGTGAAATAATATCCAAGTTAATACGCAAAGTCAGCATCTTGGCATCGTTGTCATGAAAACTCTCGGAATCCGTAACGGCGGTGGCTTCAGATATCGCTGAATAATGGTGGAAAACATAAAATGTCCTGCTGTGTAATGAACTATGGGAATTCTGAAGAGAATGGATTTCATTTATTTAATTTTCAAAGGAAATATCGACCATTTTCTTATGGAAGGAATGTATGAAACGGCCTGGATGGAATATCAATTTGAAGATAAGCAAACTTTTTTTTGTATCGCTTGGAGCACACGAAAGGTATATATCAAAATTCACTTCTTATAACAGCAGATAAGAATGAAATCGAGAATGATACTATATCTGCTGTTCCATTCATTTATCAAAAACACTATTTAAAAAAAAACTATCATTATCACACGAAATGCAAAACAAAATTACCATAGAGAAAGAGGAATTGATTGCAAAACTACGTGATGAAATTGAAAATTTGAGAAGGAAATAGAGGAAATCAAGTAAATTGCAACGTGATATATTATTGAATGGCGTTTTCGATACCGACCGAACTGGCTTTAAGTAAATGCATGTGCGTCTATTTTGTCATTATATATAAATTGAAGTGGGCGTTTCTATCCTAATTCTATTTTCCATCTACGGCTATGATTGATTTGACAGAAAATCTAACCTCTATATTCATATCTGACAATCAGGTGCTTATAGGGAAATTGAAAAGACAAAGAGCAGAATATATGTGATCATGATGAAATATCCACCTTTTATGTAATCTACTAATACCATCCAAGACAAAGAAGTTGAATTATCCTGATACATGAAAACAAAATAATATTTGAAAATAACCAAAAATTGCTTGAAATTTGACAGTGACAGAGGGGTGGGGAGCACGGTGAAGCAGCGGGTCTCTAAGCACTAACAAAGAGAACGCGTTCCTGCATATTCTGGGGTGCGTTCAAGATTAACGTCGTCGGGCAGGTTGTTGATGCGTTGGAGTGTAACCGACTTTTTTTTCGAACGCATTCCGTGTGTCATGTGGTCGATGGTTGTGTCTTGTGTCAGTGTCAGCGCTGTTACAGTCAGCACTGCCAGACAATGTTCAAGTTGATGTAAAATTGGGGTTAACTCGAGGACAAAAGCAAAAAGCGGCAAAAAGTTAAATATCTTTGAGATAAAATGGAGGAATCCAGTATTTGCATTTGGTACTATCAGAATTAGATGTTGGATTTCGACGGATCCGAGTAGCTCCGGTGCTACCCACACAGTCAAATAGAAAGTGGCTATAGGTGCAGTCGTAGGAACATTTTTTTTTTTTCAGTGTCTCAACTGACGAAATGCGTTTGTAAAGACTATATGTACTCACATATGGCACATGTGCCACTCCCAAAGGTGCTTCGGCACGGCCGGCCGGAAGTCGGCCGTGCCCGCGTTGAAGATCTTGGCGGTGAAGCGCAACAGCCTTCGGGTTTCCAGGTGCCACGCGGGATTGTCCTTCTGCACTTCATAAGCAGTGGAGGCGACGCAGTTCTCCTCCATGGCGCATTGCAGGAAGAACATGGGCTGGTCCTGCAGGTGGGCGGTCCGCATCAGCTCCACGTGGTCGATGATCAGGTCGGCTGCACAAAAGGAATTCGTTTATTGAAAGACATATTCGAAAAATAGAAAACAGGTTAATCTTTGGAAGAAGTCCATGGTAACTCAAAGTGGAGTGGTGTAGTGCATACATAGTGGAAGGAGAAGATGGTGTGCTCAACAAAAAGCTCAAACTCGTCTTGTTCTGCGCATGACGTCAGCTGGGATATAACTGTCATTGAAATTATTTGTTTTCGTGATTGATGTCCTTCAGATATTATATAAGTACCTACTAAAATTGAATGAAATAATTTCGAAATGCCTACTTTTGTTTTGTTTCTGGTTATGGAAATTCCAACTAACATACAAAAGGCACAGATATTGAATTTTTCTGCCTTTCCAAGAATGGAGACCTAATGAAACGATGGGAGCTTGCTGCCGACAGAATATGAACCCAAATAATGGTACCTACCTTATATTCGTTATATCCTCATTCCCAATTATTCACATATCATATTATCATCACATTCATATTACAGCACGTATTTCTTCAAATCATTTCCATGCAAAATGTTTCCAAACAAGTGCGAAAGTACGGTTCTTGAATTACTCACCTCCAAAAAATCACAAATATTTGAAACAATAATAAGATGCCATTCCTACAGATCATCTTCCGAATATCAAGTCAGAAATAACTCTTAATTTCTCACAAAATATAAATTGCAGCAAAGATTTGAATAACAAAACGGCAAAAATTGATACTCCTGCTCTGTTGTCGATGTCGGAGCTGAGATGTGGGACAGCATGTGACGCAACGCATATGCATATTCAATGCATACGCGACCACGTGCTGTCCCAAAGTTATCGTGGTCGGACTATAACTGCTGAATTTTAATCTGTCAGAATCGACACAGTTGTGGATCATTCAGATGGGATTGGCAATGCATGATAATTCGTATTTATTTGCTATTTGCGATTGCGAATTACCTCAAGATCACAATTTCCAGAATCAATGAAATAGTGAAATCAAAGGAATAGGAACCTGTTTATATAAACTGAATTATTTCTAAACAGATCGAGAAACTTATAGAAATTTCAATAAACATGATTGAATTCATTGCGCACGCCCATGGCAACGGTATCTGTCTGTGTGCAGCTGATATTGGTATCCCAGATGACGTCACATAATATGTAGGCACACCTTCTCCTTCCACTATGAGTGCATAGATGAAAACCCAGTCATCTCCACAACATTTATTAGAATGATCAGTGTGAACAGGGGAATATGCTCCATGCGATGATTGTCACTGTAGAATGATATTAAATTATGTTATAAATTTATCGGTTAAGGCGGGTTCATATTTCACAAGGGCCCACGCGCCCTTGAATTACCCAAAGGTGATAATTAAACTTAAAAAGTTTGATGAGGCATCAAAATTAACCTGATAACAAAGAACATGCATGATTCGTTCACTAATCAAGATCTTGATAAAATGTGAGGATGGAGTTACGAGGAGTTACAAAATTCAAGATATAGGGGTTTCCGCATATGCTCCCGTTTCCCTGATTTTCCTAAAATGTCCTCAGACTTTTGTGATCACCTGTGGTAGAATATTGGTTAACTTGATTTATTCATTCAATATATCCAATGAAAAATAACAGAGGAATGGAATTATGATTCAATTAGTCTCTTTGAATTAAAAATCTCTTTATTAGTAGGTACTGATGATCGCTGGCAAAACGTCAATCGTCGTATGAATGCGTCATGATTGTCAGTATTTGCTGTATTCTAATGATTCAATTGAAAATAAAAAACTATTACTATTCCCCATGAGTAAATATCCATTACCGATTGAGTTGGTGCAGGAGACAGCAGCCATATCCTTGCTGGGACACCTCCCTGTAGAACTTTTGTCGTGTTGGCATTGTGATAGAGTGAGTTCATTGCCAATGCATTTAATGCCTGCTGGGCTGTTTGCTGTCAGATTTCCACCGAAGAAGTCTGTTTGCATTGCATCACTGGCATATCCTTTGAAAAAATATATCAACATGTTAGTCTGGGGGATATACGGGTGACACAGAAGACATGTAACAGCCTGTAGTTTTTTATTTGAAGAGATAAAAATTTGAAATTCACAAGGGTTATATTTTCCATGATAGCGCTTCACTTGAACCCAAAGACAATTTTCTTCAACCACCTGTTCCATCGGAAGTAGACCAAATTTTTTTTTTCAAATTGCACCCTGTATATTTCTGTAGCCTATTTTGTTTGCCTCGAAATTCTCTATTCAACTATGTATCACAATTTGGATATTCGTACATTAGTACTTAGACGATATTATCAGATTATTTTACATACCCTAATCGGTCCCCGAAGATTGTCAATATTATCATCCATTTGGATACATGAAACTGAACTAATTGTAATCTTTGATGTATCTTCCTCCTAATATCGTGAGTTATTTTTGGATGATTTTTTTAAACAATTAAATTTGAACCGATTTGGGTATGGAAAATATTCTGATGATATCGTCTTAATGATCTTTGGATTTCTAAGCCTATCACATTACATCTGTTTACTACGAGTTACGCATATTTTTCTTGAAAGTCAATCTCTAATTCCAAAATCCGACGTTACAGTGTTGATGTGCTGTGTATGTTACGATTTCAAGACTTTTTGTGTTTCACTTGATTTCCAGTGTTTTCTAAAAATTCACCATTCAAACCCCAAATTGGTGTATTTCGACAGTAAGTTAAGTTATACATCTTACAAATACAAATACAAATTGGGGAGTGGTGTAGTCATCGTAGGTTATTCAACTAAATTATTGCGAAAAAACGTTTTTTTCTTTCTTTCAATTCCAATGAATGATGGATCAAAATTAGGTGAGTATCTAAGGTACTACGAATATTTGGTATTAAACTTGAAAGATTAGACCCGAACATTTTCTAATGGGTATAATAGTGTTTGTTATTGTAGTAAAATTGCCTTGCCCCTCCCTTAACCTACTCGACTGGTAAATAAGTGTGAAAATTGACGCACAATTTACAGCGTTGCCATTTTTTTAAGCCATCTCTTCCTAACTCATTTGAAACTTTGGAGCTATTGGCGATAGAAAATTACACGACGCCCCACCTGACGGTAACAAATTGAACACTTCTTAGCGGTTTGTTTTGATATTACCAATGAGCATAGAGGAAAGACGAAATTGAACCAATCAAAACAAAGTAAACAGACCGCTTTGACAGCTTTCAACAACTCCGATAGGTGGCATACGCTCATTTTCTATCACATATTTCAGTTTTATGTGTCCCCTCTTTTTATATGTCTATGACATATACCGACCAATTATATACAATCTTTCTCAATTCAGAAATGATTATTAAGATTTCGCTAAAAACTGTAGAGTCGAAAGACATAATAAAATTATTTTTTCCTGGATTTCGAAGATTATTCAATACAATAGCTTTGGGATATTGCATACACTGTGTTCAAGATAAGGATGTCTATCATGAAGATAGTTTTTATTTTTTTCTGACGTCATTCAAAGACATATGAAAACAAAAGACACTTCTTTATTGCCACTTTTCAAGCTCTACAAAACAGCGTTGAGTGATTTTCCGTACGTAGTTTCGTTTCGGAGAAACCATCATCAACTTTATCCCATGAAAGAAATCCTTAACTTAGACACCCCACCCCGTATATATTACCTAAGTTGAGAGTTTTGCAGACGACTAAAGCTTCAAAAAGAGACCACCCATCACCACATATCGGCTGCCATTCACCATCTTCAGTTTTTATTTCCACCCTTCCTTCCGTTTTTATTCTACCATTTGATAGTCGTACTCTCATATTTCTTGGTAACTGAACCCTAAAAGAAAAAAGAATATCGGAAATTCTGTTATGTTTAGATGCAATTTCTCGTCTGGTTATGATTATTTTTTTACCCGAAACTTTCTGAGACTATACCGGGTGTCAACGAATCTATTAGACAAGTCATAACTTCTAGACCATTAGGTGTATCAACATGAGATTTGGTATAGATTAATGGTATGTGAAGAGGAAATTTTTCTCACATATTTTGCACTTTCCGGTCGCTTCCGGTTTCACCGGAAATGGCTCCGGTTCTAGATTTTTAAATGGAACACCCTGTATATTGTAAAATTTTTGGATTCCTGAGACAATTCTAGATGAGAATGTGACATTTTCGAAAGTTTTTATGCCTACTCAATTTTTGAGTCACTTTTGAAATTACATCTAGGTGGCCATGATCCGAAGTAAACTAATCTAAGGACCTCAGGTGATATCAGAAAATTACAATCGTGAAGTTTCAGTGACAAGTATGACAGATATGAATAAGACAAGTTGGCAAAATTACATTTTCGTGTCTAACTATTATTTTTCAAATGGCGACCATATTTTGACAAGCACTTTCCGAAAAAAGGATAGTTTGACGAATCTAACGATAATTATATTTATTTGCGATTGGATTACAAATAAGAACATAAATTAAATATTACTTACGAAAATACTTCATAATAATGTATTTACTTTACTACCGGAAAGTGAAAAATATGTGAAAACTCTCCTCTTCACATACCATTGATCTATACCAAATCTCATTTTGATACACCTAATGGTCTAGAAGTTATGACTTGTCTAATAGATTCGTTGACACCCGGTATATAAAATAAATATATAATATAAATCCTGTTATTAGGGCCTTCTGGCCCTGTTTGTATTTCTTCTACAATAAATAAATAAAATTACCTTTTACTACAGGCATTTTTTTTAAAATATTTTTGAACCGCAATAGCAGGTATATTTTTTGGAAGGAAATGTCCTTTATTTTGGTTAATTTCAAATTCTATATTCTCACAATCACTCAGCATACTGTATGATGTGAACCTTATAAAGCCTATGTTTCAAATTTGTTCTGAATATCTGGCAAACTAAGAGCTGTAAAGAAAAAATATAAAAAATCTTGAAATTTCAACTCTGTAGATCGGGAACGAATCGTTGATGTTTTTGGAAAAAAAATGCTTATTTCGACCTGAAAATATAATATTATTGATACTGAATTTTGAAACAACAAATTAGAAACAATGAAGCAATTATTATTTCAGTTTTTGTTCAACGAAAAAACATTATCGTTTCAAGAATTCATATCATGAATGAATAATAATATAATATTATAGTGATGAAGTCACTTTCAAATCTTCCTGCTTAATTGAACATTTTCAACTCATTCATTCTGTAGGTATATACTAATTTTGAAATCACCTCCTATGGTACCTACTCAAAAGATAACCAGTACCTATCTACTCACATGGACTTCATAGTTGTTTCCACAGTTTTGAAACTCTCTTTTTTCGTTTCTTCTGGCTCACTGCAGATGACACCAGCAGCTTCAGTTGAGGTGCAGTCATTCTGTCCCCATCCATCAAAACGACACTCTGAAATTTCCGACTCAGATCCCTCACAGTAGATATTGTCCATCCAAAATTTCCCTTCAAAACAGCAATATTATAGATCAGGTTATAAAAATCAGTATCCATTTTTTGTGTAGATATTTTTGTTTGATAATTCACATTTATTGAGACACAACCATTCGAAAATATGATGAAAATTTGACGATTTTCCTTCATCTTTCATGATGGCAAAATTCAGCCTAATGGTTGAGAACTGACAGTCCCAGATAGTTACAGAATGATATACTTATTGAAGTTCTTGAGTAATCTCAAGAGATGTATTGAGAGCACCTACATCAATTCATCACATGAAAAACATAGTTTTCCCTACATGTCTCTGTCAAAATTTTTGACCATTATTGTCTGCTTAAGCTGGAAAAAAAAGTCTAGTGAGCCAGTACTTACAGCTCACTAGATTTTTTCCCCATATTTAGCAGACAATGTTTATGACAATCTTTTATTTTTCCCGAATATGTTCCTGTGATAAATGTTCTCATATTGTGGGAGAAATGTTTGGAAATATAATTTTTCTACGGCTACAACACAAAATTGCTCTTGTCTTACTGTTTTCGATATTTCGATACATCAATATGTCATCAATTTTATTTCTGTGTCTGATGTCATAATGACTCCATAGTGTTATCATTTCACGGACTGTCTTTCCGAGCTCGTTAAATAATATACTATTCGTTTTCCTATGAGTATAAGCTGTGTAAATTTTCGATCAATTTTATGAACTTACGGAACAATTTTTTTGAAAAAATCACAAATGTACCCCCTTTATTATACTATCGTGTAAGCATATTAATGAGATAATAAGTTAATTTTGAATGAAAGCTTTAGATTCTTACTTCTAGCAGGTCCAAAATATGAATTGACTGTCGGCTGGGCACTCTTTTCCGGATAGCCGAGTTGTTTGCAGATTATTCTCGCTTCAGTGACGTCCCATTCATCATCACAAATCGGGCCCCAGGTTCCGTCATGGAGAATCAACACATTTCCTAAATATAAGCAAAATTACAAAGCGGTACACGGATTCAGGTACACTCCATATATTTTCCCTAAAAAGAAATTACCACCCCATATACAGCGTGTCTCACTTTAAACGGCCCCCCCTCTATATCTCAGTTATTAGTCATGCGATTCCAACCAAATTTGGTGTGGTATGAATAACCATCAATATGATGAGTTTTACAGAGATGCACATTATTTTGGACAGTGCCGTGCGTTTTTATTGAACTAAAAAGGGGTCGATTTTTTATAAAATCATATTAGGCATTTTTTTACAGGAAATCTAACCTCATATTATTGTTCCTCATGCTTTCAAACCTCCATATGCAAAAAATCATCTGATTCCGAATTAACAGGATTGGCTTAATTTTTTTCATTTTCAGTCTCGAATAAATAGTGACTTGAAAATCAGGTAGGTGGAAAATCATGATTTGGATGAAAAAACGAGTTATACTTTTTTATGTTGAACTCACCGTTTCCGAGTAAATAATTATTACGCTCGCAAAAATTCTGTTTAGATGTGCTTGTTTTTCTGAAACCCTTCATATAGGCATCTTATGAAAACCCACAACATATGGGGGTTTGAAACCATGAAGAACAATATTACGAGGTCAGATTTCCTGTGAAAAAATGCCTAATATGGTTTAATAAAAAACTGCAATGACCCCTATTCATTGCAATAAAAATGCACGGCACTGTCTAAAATGATGTTTGACTTTGGAGAACTGGTCATATTGATGATTATTCATACCGATACAAATTTGGTAAAGATCGCACGACTGATAGCTGAGATATAGAGGGGGGGCCGTTTGAAATGAGACACACTGTAGTATATTGCTATATCGACCTCGATCGAGGTCCTTATTCAGTCCAAATAAGTGCACTGAACGGTGTCTTCTGTGCAGGCTTTGTTACTAGCTCCGTATATGCCCTCTAGGCAGTGCCGGATTAAGCCAGCGCGGTGCCTGTAGCAAATTGTATCACGGGGCCCTTATTGGTTTGCTTTAGGTTATCAAGTTTAGAGCATTGAATAAAATAAAACGAAACTATTACAAATTAACTTCTCTGGATATACCTATATGGGCAAATTTAGAGATAACACTTTCAATATCGACTTCTTCAAGCAAATCATGCTCTATATTTATCAAAGTGAGATGATTGAAACGTTCTTGGCCCATCGTGTTCCTTAACTCATTTTTAATACGTTTTTATACTGAAAAAAACGTTCGCCACTATAGTTAGCGACCATGAGATACACGTAAGTTCGCTATAGGCAATTTCTATGTTTGGGAAACATGATTCTAAAGAATTATTCAATGAGAGTGTATAAAATTGTAGTTCCAGAGGCTCCTGTTTGGTGCTCTGAATGACAGAACCCACATTCGTTTTGAGCAGCTCAACGCTTCCAAATCATCTGTGTGAGCACTGACCATTATTGATGATTCTTCCAAAATCTCTTCCGCTGTGGAAATACTCCAAAAACACTAGTAATTTTATTAAATGCTTTCAAACGTTTAGTTGAAGCAGACAGTACGTTTTCAATAATGGAAATGAATACCTGAACTTCAAAACGTTGTCCGGGTGTTTTATTTTCAACAAAGTCGTCGAGTGTAGTGGAGAACCGCTAAAATGGTCGTACTCTGTATATCGCTTGATTCGTCCTTATGTTTATTGCTGATAGTATTCTTCACAGTCGTACAGATCTGATGCATTTTTTTTACAGTACTGTTAATTTGAACCCGATAGTGAATCTTGCAGGATTATCCCCAGACGATGCTCAGAAACTTTACAATATTCAATTCGAGCATGAATTGTTGAGAAAGATTACTTGTCTTGGCTGAGATTTACTGCGCCCAATTCCGTCACACCCACCCCATATATAGGGTGGTTCATTAAGGTTGGGAAATCTCTGAATTACAGAGAGTAAAGACTGAATTATTAAGATTTAGCCTACAAACCTGCCAAGGATAATGCTGCTGGTTCAAACCAGGGTGTTCTAGGGGGAAATTTTATTTTGAAATTTCTCAATAACTTCGTAAGTTTTAACAGAATGAACATAAAATCTTGTAGTTTTATGTTTTCTGACATGAAGAATACGAATAGTGGCATTCTGTTACTTCGGTAAATTACATATCATATCTTATTTGTCTATTGAATATGATGATCAAAATAAGTAAAAAATCTGAAAGCCAGTTCAATTTCACATGGGTTAAGTGGAAGAACAACTCATTTAGTAGTTAACGAAGTGACAGTGGAGGAAAGACAGTAATCAATGATGATTATCACTAACAACGTCAACAACAAAATTAATTCCAAAATAAATGTTCCACCAAAGTTAGGAAAACATTTAAAATAAAGTAGTCCTTTGAACACCCTGTATCTGCAACAGTTTTATAAAGCATGTTGGGTCGACTCTGTAGGAAGTTCAGAGATTGCCCATTCTTAATGAATCTCTTTCACTTATGTTTGCCTTCGGCAGAGATCTATAGAGTGTACCTGATTGTAGTGGTGGTTATCCTGAATAAACAAGAATTTAGAAATAGTTAATTTATTCTTATATAGATGTACTAAAATTCACAATAAAATTAATTGTATTGGGCAGAATTGGAAATAGAAAAAATCTCTTCTCACCTTCATTTTCACCTCTCCCTCCCACCAATTTAATCCCGCCTTCCTGTTTTTTCAACCTTTTCAGGTGTTTTTTGATCAACAGCGCCCTTTTTCTTTTTGTCTCCTCAGGGCTCTCGCAAACCACACTCAACAATAATGAAAAAAATACCGCGTAAATGAGAAATGTCATAGGTGCAGCCATGTTCAATGATATGTTGAGACTAAGCAGCGAAATTATGGCATGATCTAGTTCTCACAGATGTGAACCATTTTTTTCTTGTCTGATATCCAGGCAAAGATGATATAATTATTGATGACCTTATTATTTATTTCCTAATGGTATTATTTACAATCAGGAATGTTGTATCATATTTCTATCTGATATACGATTTGCATTCAGGAATTTTAAAGAAATCTGGCGAAAATCATGTTTAGAAAAAGCCTAATTTGAAGAGGAATAATTATTGAGGTGTCAATGTATATACAAATTAGACTAAAGGACAACTATTTTATTCTCTTCAACTTCAAGCATTACTATTTTCCAAGAATTATAAACCAGTTATATCGTTTCAACGATTCCTAAATATGTTAGTTTTGATATCGTTTCTTCGATATAACCATATTTATGTTGTTTCTGATTTATAAAACATGAAAAAAAGATAGGAAAATGAAACAGGAATTTTAGTGAATCCCATACTAGAACTCAGATAGAGATTACCTTGAATGAGTATATTATTTTCAACCAGAATTCGAAACCACAAAAAGAAATCCTACTCAAAAAAAGGATCATCTTGGTAATGGAATCGATCAAGTGGCCATTTATGATTTTTGATTATTGATAGGACATTGAACCTTGTTCATTTTCTTGAATATTGAATCAGCATCAGAATAAACCAAAACAAATATTCTATCTCATTTTTCTGTGTGCACTTGATTATGCAAGCTTTTTTGCATGTTATTTCGAGTTCAAATTGAATCTAGTCCAGAACCAAGTATTTTATTGATGTCAAACAAGACAATTGATTTGTGTTGTAATATGTGAACATAATTCATTCCTCCAGAACAGTGCTTCTATGTAACTAAAAGCTGACGATGAAGCTTAGGAGCTTCGAAACATGTCCCATAATTTCGTAATTTCAAAGTCTAGTTTTGGTAGAGTAGACTGGAAGAATTTCGTCCTGTCCTATTACATAATTACAAATCGTGTCAGTTTTAACAGAATAATCCTTCGGCTTCGCTGTCGGATTATTTCAACTGTCAAACTGACACTCTTTTTGATTATGCAACAAGTTATCGATGTTTAACGCGAATATTTTGAAGTACTTAGTATAACTAGGTACTGAAAATACTATGTTTTATTTCCTGGTCTCAACTTCATGGTAGAAACTTGAAAGACAAAAGTATGTATAGAAATCTAATAAAAATATGATTGATATGAATCCATAGCCTGTCAAGAAATTCAAGGCAAATAAAGAAAATACATGTATATTTGAAAAATACTTTATCAAAACTCTGAACTAGTCAAAGCTAAATATAAATTAACTATAAACTCTGAATATCCAAATTTAAAGCTCTAGAACCTGGAAGTCATCAACATCATAAAAAATTTCCCTAAATGTAGCGAATCTCAAACTTACTTTGGCAAAGAAGGAACTGCATCAACTACTTTTGTACCATAGTATCTCAGATAATAAGAAATAATTGAAAACATTATAACAAAACTTGATAACATTGTGACTGCTCAGACTGAAGTCACATTCACCGTCTCGACTCTGGTAATAGGCTCCATTACTTTGACAGTGATACTTTTCTCTGTGTCAGGGTTGATCTTCAACTCCTGTATCAACTCGATCACACTGTTGATGGCATCTGAACCGTCTTCCGCTTTAGAGGCGACTTCATTCTCGTTCTTCGGGTTCTTTTTGGAATAATGCAAGAAACAGAAGCCTCTGCTACCCTTCCAAGTGATATTTCTCGGTTTTATACCCTTTTCAGTCAGGGCATTCTTCAAATCACGGACCCTGACGCTTCTCTGAATGTTACCGACTCTGAGAGAGTAATAATTGTTCGGTCTCTTCCTTTTTCTGAGCTTGTTCTGCGGTGATACGTTCTCCACATTTTCGGCGTTTTCCTTATTTTCTTTGGGTCCATTTCGTTCGGATTTTGCTGAAGAAGCAGATCTAGATTTGATTCTTTGATCTTTTTGTGAGCCCGCTTTCTTATTGGTTCTGTCACTCAAAGGTTTCGGCTTGGATTTGCTTCTGTAATATCTCGGATAGTATCGTGGGAAGTAAACTTTTTCTTCTGGGTCGTATTCTTTCAAAGTGGTATCTTTTCCTTCACTGAAAACAATGGAATAGTTCCTTCAACGCCTCCCGATGTAGTTTACGAAAAAATGTTATGAATGTGTTTCAATAGATATTTCGCATCGTCAATATAATATTAATCTTATGTCAAAAGAAATAGCTTTTTCATCTCTTGAAAACCACATCGAATTAACAAAAAATATTCATGAATGGGTGTCGAATTCAAATGTTCGAACATAATTGGGTTTTAGTTAGAATAAAACTTGTCAACATTCATGAATGTAGAAACATGGCAGTGTTGAGATACTGTATGCACGACCGGGCGTAAAGTAACACTTTACTGCCCAGTTTTGCGGATGGTATTAGTTAGAAGATAGATAATAGTTCGGACACAGCTGAACTTCTGTCTTTACCTATATTCCATATTACAATGGTTTGTGTGAATAAAAGAATAAGACATATATTCTGCTCTTTGTCTTTTCAATTTCCCTAATAGCGCCTGATTGTCAGATACGATTTTAGAGGTTAGGTTTTCTTTCACCATGATAATTTTGTTCTGCATTTCCTGTGATGATAATGATGGATTTTTTAAATGTTCTGTTTTGTAAATGGATGGAAGGATGGAATAGTAAATTCTCCCAAACGAATCTTAAAATGTCCTGTTTGAAGATGGGTCTGAAAAATAGTTTCATTCTGATATGCTACTATAAGAAATGAGTTTTAATGTATGTTTCAATTGATCTCTGGATCAATTTTCCATCCAGGCCGATTCATTCCTTTCTCATTAAGAGAATGGTTGATATTTCCTTTGGAAAATTGAATAAATGAAAGCCATTCTCTTCAGAATCCCCAAAATTCATCTTAATGCAGGACATTTTCATTCATGCTTTTTTCTCAATAGTTTATGAAATATTTCAATTCTGACGTTCATAAAATTTTTTGTCAATTTCAAACAATTTTGAATGAAAAAGCGCAGGACGACTATGATGCTCTTGTCACAATGCGAGGTGTGTAACTTAATAAATCTAAACATTTAATAGTATATTACAAGTGTTATACACGTCCTTTTAGTAACGAGTAGTTTAAGCACGAGCGGAGCAGAGCGAGTGTTTAATAAACGAGTGACTAGAAGAGTTTATAAACGCGTTACATACTATGATTTTTCTACGAACTCCGAAAATTACACTAACATACCTGCAATTCCTGCTAACCTACAAAATAATTCGAAAGGAATGGGAATTGAGAACATAATACATGCAACTGCATGCAACCAGCGAGACACGTATAAGTAATATTGGTTGTAGATGTGTCGAGTCCATTGCTTACTAACCTTTGTTTCACGTTTATTGTCATGCTTAGCGCAGAATAAATAAATTGTTCTCAAAGATGGATGCTTCATTTTTACACTTCTTGGAGATATGCAAGTACCAGAACATTCTCTTCGATTTCACTTTTCGTCTACTTTTACAGTTGTCATTTCTGTGTCCGAACTCTTATCTTGCTAATACCACCCAGTGACTCAACTCTCTCCTATGAAACTGTGGACATTACTTTGAATGACATACCTCTCGTGTTTTTTCTTCAGTTCACTCAATACAGTCTTTGTCTCAACTTGTCGCAGAGTAAGATGATTCCAGAATATGCCCTCTGGTTTTGATAAATCATGTTTAACTTCGATTATTTGGGTGGGGGTTATGATAAAATCAATTGGTACATCATATTCCTTGAAGATGTCTTTGGGTAACTCATCAAATACCTGTGAGAGAAATTGTCTTTCAAAATATCGACTATTCTTGAGTGGTTTTGATTCTCAATGGAACCAAGCAGATTATTTTGAATTTTTTATTCACAATGCCAAATCACAAATTATTGTATTTCGGGACATAGCTGCATATGAGTCGTTAATCTATGTACCTATGAACCGGTTCTCAGTTTCTGTATACAGGGAGGTTCAGAAGTAATTTTTTTTCGGGGACTGAAACTCCGTTTTTTTTAATGGAACACCCTGTATATTATTACTTATTCGGAAAGTTGAGACATTTTACCATTTAATTGTGTATTTATGTCATGAATTCGTCTTCACATATACCGGGTGATCAAGATTCTGAATTCTGCACGACCCAGTATTTGTTTCAATTAAATGTCAGTAGATAGTTGATCAAAAGTTGAGATAGGGACATGTGAGCCGTTTTGACCAATAATGAATAGTTTCGACAAAAAAAATTCCTAAAGTTGAAAAATGTCGATTTTTCACACCCTATATCTCTGTAATCATTTCCGCTACACCCCAAGTGTGATACATCGATGAAATCAGCTCTTCAGAGATAATCTGAAAATGCAATAAAATACAGGGTGTTCCATTAAAAATAACAAAGTTGTTGCTACTTTTCGATAGAAGCGGCAACGCCGCAGAGCTGAAAATATTTTAGATCGATAGACCAAGAGCAACTACGTGAGTAACCAAAATTTCAGAATGATCCTATGTCCCGTTCTCCATAAACGTCTAACGTACCATCGACCGTGAGTTACCCTGTATAACCTGACGAAGCTACTGTGTTAGCGAAACATGTTGTGTGTTTAAGAAGTTTGTGGAAATCTTATGGATTTCCATCAAGTAACGGTCGAGTCAATTCGAAAAATAGATGGGGTATTCCATTTGAAATATCGAAGTAGCTACTACTTTCTGATATAAGCGGCAACACTGTTTTGATGGAAATATTTTAGACGGATAGAGCATACTTTTGTTTATCTACGCCAACAAATTTTCGGAATTATCTGTCGTTCGGTTCTCCAGATACTTTTAATGTTTCATCCACCATGAAACACCGTGTATTGATCATAGAAATTATATATGATTTCTATGGTATTAATGAGGAGTGCCACATATCTTACAGTTGGAGAGACGTCTGTAAATTTTCGTCAACTGATAACGAAATGTTATAATACGTTCCAAGAGCATGTGAAACAATTGAACTTCATCGAACGGCACTATTTCCTGAGCAAAATGATTGAAAATTCGCGATTTGATAAGGAGATAAGAATTTTGCCATCCGATACCAATTGAATGGTAGATCTCAAAAACCTACCTACCAGCGATTTATTTGTTGCCATTATTCCTTACATACTTCCGTCATGTGATAATATGTTGAAACAAAAACAAATTAAAGGGAATAATGTCCCCTTTGCGAATATCCAAACCCACCGCGATTCAAACTGATCTAAGTTAGTGACAGAGCGTCAATATTTCCGAGAGTATATCGCCCCTGTCGAAAGATAATATCCGATGGACCAGTATAAAACCAACGTAGTGCTCTTGGACTACTAATGGTGGATGGAGGAAATCAAGACGAAATAAATTTTATAAAATTGCCATCCCCATAACGCCACTGTTTACAAGTATACATTTGAAAAAAAAAACTTCAACACCCTGTATCTTGGAAACAATGCATTTCCGGACCTTCATTTATGGGACCTTTTTTTCAGAGAATTATCTGAGGCATCACCCCCTTGAATATAGTCGCGTATTTTATAAACACCCTGTATATGAAGCAATACATTGAGAAATCGCATTCTCTTTATGATGAATATATCAACTCTATCGGTCTATACAACAGAAAACAACTATTTTCCTGGCTATATGCCACGACAAACATTGAACACACACGATAAGAATCTAAAAATAAAATCTTCAATATTCGACAGAAAATAACTACTTTCCTGGTAGGCATTGAATGTCAACAAATAATAGTCAGATGTGAGTCCATTATAGTTGTATACCATATCACTGATACGACTTTTTTTGAAAATTTCAAGCCCATCATGATCAGAGTTTATACAAGTACACTTCTCCTATACATTTCAATTTTCATTTCAAATACTGAATAAATTGGTGTTATATTTAAAAAAATATATAAATCGTCGTGGAATATAGCCAGGAAAGTAGTTGTTTTCTGTTGAATATACCGATAAAGAGTTGATAAAGTCATCACAAAGAGAATGCGAATTTTCATTGTATTTCTTTATATGTATACATAATATATCAATTTTCTCATATTCATAAAATATCTGAGGATATTCCTTTTCAATACTTTCATACATTCCAATCAAGGGGTTCAAACTTGAACAATGGAAACTTGTTATATTTATAGCCCTCTAATCGCAGATTGGTAGTTTTCTTTCCACGGCCTGTATATTTGTCATACATCGAAACTTTTTATTGGATTTTCAATTTTGATCTGGCAGATAATTCTTAAAATAAAACTGAAATCATGTAAGTTGGTTTCTTGCACATTTCTGTAATTTTGATCTGGCAGATAATTCTTATAAATAATAAAACTGAAATCATGTTAGTAAGTTTCTTGCACATTTCTGTTGAGTGTGAGTTGACAGGAAAAAGAAAACACATGATAATTTTTTCCAAAATAAATGACTTTTAAATCAATCGAACTGGAGCACTAATGTGTTATCTGAAACCTAAATAGATAGCAATTGTCGTAACTTTGTTTTATATATTGAAATCACCTTCAAGTATCCCAACTTGAACACTGATAAAATCTGAAATGAACTAACAATAATATTATACTAAAATCAGAAAATCTTTGCTATAAGTAAAATGGTTTCACTAATAAAGTATGAGTATAAAAATGGTTAATTTCAGGATAAATTGAAAAAAACCCTGTAACTCACACATTTTTAATTTAATTTCTGTCACGAAGAACTGTCAAAAGCGAAAACGATAAAATCAACTCTAGGACAAATTGTCCATATTCATGTTGAAAACGGTAGCAGATTCGTTCCCGAAACGTCCAACTTTTCAAACCAGGTGTCACTGACTATGGATTAAATTTCTCCTCAAGGTTTCTAATAGGGAAATTTCAAGTGCAGTGACGATTTGAGGCAAATCATCCAAATTCTCCTTACTACCAGTATATTGGAATACTTTTTTTATAGAGAAAAATGTATAGTTTTTCATTTTCCAAAATCGGATGAGAACTGGTACCTAGTTACAGCCCATGTCATTTTTATAAGAATCAGTAATAGAAATTGTTTGTTACTGTTACTGAACTCAATTTTTTATGAGAAGTGCACTATATGTTCAGAAATCTTAAGATTGTCTCTCAGTCACTTACAAAGGATTCAAAAATCAGAATGCTAGAATCTCACACATTTGAAATTTTGACCAGAAGATAAAAGATGCATATACGTGTGAAACATATCACATGAATCAATTTTTTTTTAAAAATTACTAAATTGGGAATCAAACGAGATAACATCAACAAATGAGAATTACTACTTATTCAAAACTGAATTTCAAATTATTTTCTCGAACCAAGAAATACTCAAACGCCCAGCCAAGAACTCAATAAGCTGTTACAACATTATGACTTCTTGGTATTGGCAATATTCAACAATTCAACATTATGTGACAGGCTTACAATGATCTTATTAATGATATAAGTAACTATAGTTCATATTAGTCAGTTTATAAAAAAGTGGATAATAACTTCATGCTTAATTTATCCAACTATAATAGTTCACCGATATTTTGAAGGGGAATCACACAATGGGTAGGCTGACTTGTGATTGTTTTATCAGAATGATAGCTATATCCTGAGCTTTATCCATATCTTAATTATTATAAAGGTTTCTATTTGAAGAATAGAATGATATCATTTTTTTCTACTAAACAAATATGTAGTATCACATTTATATATTATGGAATACCATTCCAATGGATAAACAGAAATGTGATTTGAAATATCTTCTTGATATGGAAATAATCAACCACTGACCCAATCATTATTCATACAGGGAGGGCCAAATGTTGTCTCCTGATATTTCTGTGCCTGATAGTTATTTGAAAATGGCTTGGTTTATCAATATGAGACAGGAGTGTTTTTTAATTGATAATAATGTCAAGATAATATTTCCATGAAAATTTTCAAATATATTAAAAAAATAAGAAGGTTAGGGGTGAAATACCATAAAATATACAACTGGAAAAAGGTATGATAAGCAACTGGATCTAGAAAATCATTATTTGAATTAGGAATATGAATTCAATATTTCAAAATCTGTTAGAAGAATCTAAAAAAACTGATAATTATCCCTATTTTCAGAAATAAGTTTATAGCAAAGAGTAATTTTGTTTTTCAGGTTGATTGGTAATTATCAGACATTTGTCATGATTTTCCAAGTAATTTTCATCATGAGCAAGCTAATTCCTCAATCAATTATCAATACATTTTTCCGCATTTTTCAATACTTTGTCTTTTGTTATCTTGTTATTGATTGATAATGGATATTGGTTAATGTCAAAATATCATTATTGAGTAGTTTTCATGATGAAAATAGATGAGACCAAAAATATATTTGGAATTTAATTGGAAAGAGTAAACAAACTAAAGTTGATAATTGAAATTGGTAGGTGAAAAGTTATTTCACAGATGATAAGATATTGGGTAAGATAATAGGTGAAAAAGAAGAAAATAAAATGATGATAACAACAAGAATTATCAAATTCCTCAATAATTGAGAAATCTTCTTGAATTTTATGAAAATCTTATCATTTGTGAACTAATTCTCTACATTTCTATGGTTGGGTCCTCTATAAGCAAAATCATAGAAATTTGGGTCCACCATTTTGTTCAGACATGACCTGCTAAATTGAACATAAAATACTTTATGAGAGCCGGGAAATTAGATAAGAACTTGGGTACCTGTGAGTCATGAACAATGGTGACTATCACAACTTGATCATTAATAGCCTTCATCTCCTTGAACAAAGCAAACTCCATATCTGCATACCCTGCACCTTTTCCAATTCTATAACCATCTTTTGAAACAGCAACGCTACCCAATACTAGCAGATCAATCTTAATCTCATCCTTGACATTATCAACTTCTTTTCCTGTATGTTCTATACCCCATCGAGAAACTATCAGTTTGGTATCATGTTTGCTATCCAGTTCAAGTTTTTTTATCAAACCTCTTCCAAGGCCTGGGCAGGGCACATACAAGTCTTTTTGATTCTCCAGCACAAGAGCCCTAGCCGATTCTAAGGGTTTATCGGGGCTTACTTCTACGGATTTTGCTGATTTGAAAACATCTAACTGCAACAGTTTAGCAGAGGCTTCCTCTACTCCTATGAAATTCGGAATTCTTCCAAAAGGTGTAGGGAATTTTACTAGTTTTTCTTTCCAAAGTTGTCCCCATACGTTTTTTCTTATAGAATATTTGGACTCTACTTGAATAGAGAATTTCTGTTAAATTTGAAAATAGAATAGATGAAATTGCTTACCCATTTTTGGTATTGATGGCTCCACTTTGGGAGTTTCTGGTTCTTGGGAATCGGTCATTCTTCTAATAATCAACCAGCTAATTATGAACGTTGAATGAGAATGTTATCAATCTGACACTTCAGTTATCTGGATTGTCGATCAAGTATACTCCCACCAAATTGTTCTGTACTTTTTTCTTGTTTTTTTTTCAGTCGTACATGGATACTGTGTAAAGTGTACAGGGCAGTGAGAATTTTCAAGGTCAACAACCAAGAACTTCATGATAAAATAATTATATTTCAAAAAAGTTAAAAATAAGACATTCTTATCATATAAAAAAGCCACTAGGTGCCACTAGTAAACTACAGTCCAGCTTCAAAGGTTAGAGCATGGTTAGAGTTAGAACAATCTGAATAATATGACATAGGCGCACCGGAGGGTAGGTATCCATGGGTGTCAGGGTCATGGCACAAGTTAAACCTCAAACCTGAATTCTTTTTTTTTTTATCAACTAGACAGTCATTTGATATTCTTGCTAATTTGTTTCGCTAACGTTTCTAGCACATGGATAGCTGAATATTATTAACATAAAAATTGTAATTCAGTCGAAAAAACAGACAGAGTGTCCGATATTATCTTCCATAACTTCTCCAACAACGGTTTTTCAGGGCCAGAAATAATGTTCAATCTCCGATAATAGCAAAGAAAGTTTATGGAAACGTCGTTCTAAAAGGAAGATTCAGCTCTTTGAAAGTGTGATGATGATGGTTGGAAAAATGCTTTTTTCTCCAAATGGTATACAGCAAATAGGTGGCTTTTCTATGACCATTAACAGGCAGCAAAGGTGTACTTTCTCTGCCTAGGCAAAAAAAGAAATTTAAATCAGATAATTGGTGATCAAAATTGACAATGACATTTGGTGAAAAAAAAAATGATGGAGTTACCCACAAGAAAAAAATGTTCACTGAAATTCGTATTTTGCTATGGTGATTCATCAAAAAAAAACAATTTGGTTGGTTACAAACATTACTCATGTGGAATTTTCATTACAAAATAACACAAAATTAGTTTTATAGTATTTGGAGAAAAAAATATGTTTCACATGGCAGAAAAGAAGATTCAATGCCTTGACTGGTTATAAGCCTCGGCTATCAAACACCATCAGCCGCGTCATTAAATCTTGTCCTTTTCTGCCTAGTGAAACAAATTAATATTTTATGATAAATAAAATGAAATGTTACTTCCTTTCTTATTTTTATATTGTAACAAAAAAAATGTAAACCACATTCTAAACAATTTGAACACATCTACAGATTAAAATATGGATTCATGGTCTATTTATGTTTAACCAAATTCAGTATCAATAAAAACTCATTTTGTACATTCACATTATTAATGCATACCATACAGGGTGTCCCTAAAAGGTCTGTACAAAATCCCAGCAGATATCCCTGAGGTTGAAATAATAAGCGGATTTAAAGTAGGTATATATCTTAGGTACGTCAGTCTGATATTGCTCCGTTTCAAATATACAGGGTGGTTATTTTAAAAAATAACAATGTGATACATACTGGGTGATACTGACTCATGGTATACCCCCCTTTTCTCCTTTGTTTTTCTAGGTATATTTCTGTAATTTGGAACATCGAATATTCTCACTAGAGGGCAGTTTCTCACACTTTGGGAAATTTTATTCATCTTCTGGTTTTCCTGGAAATTACCTCAACTCTCGATTTTCAAATGGAACACCCTGTATTTTATTCCATAATCGGTAAAAGATTATTATAACGAATTCAACAAAACCAGGTTTGATTGTGTTATTCGGAATGATTAGGTAGACATTCGCGTTCGAAGTTTCCATAAGATCAATGAGTGCGAGAGAGAAAGAAGTTTCGATACTGCGCCGTCACACCCATTATGAGCTAACAGAAACTTCGAACGTGAATATATTTGTAATCTTTTGAAACAACCCAATCGAACCCGGTATTATTGAATTCGTTATAATAATCTCTGATGACCGATTATGGAATGAAACACAGGGAGTTCCATTTGAAAATCGAAAGTTGATGTAATTTATAGGAGAACCGAAAGGTGAGAAAGTGCCCTCTAGTGAGTATATATTCGATGTTTCAAATTTCAGAAATAAAGCTAGAAACCCAAAGGAGAAAAAGGGCTTATACCATAATCCTGTGTCACCTGGTATACACTACTATAATAAAGTATTTAAAAAAATACATTTTGAACTGGTAATTTATTACTGTCAAAATTACAACCACAAAGATCACAGCAAACATTTTTTATTCAAAATAATTTGAATATTCCATTGGGGCATCCAACATAAAAAAAAAACAAAATAGTTCAAAAATGGCTCACTCCAGTGGATTTTTACAGACGTACATGTTTTGCTGGAAAATTATTTCCTTAAAAAGTCAAAAAACTACACTGAGAAAAAAGTTACGGCCATTCAAACCCTAAGAGCATTGGTAAATGCTCTCTAATGGCAATAGTTAAAAGGTGTCCCTATTAGGGTTCCACATCCCTAAAAACCCCAGGCTATGGAAGTAATTTGTTGAAAAATGTTCATACATTTTAAAAAATTCTATTTTATTTTTCAACTTTACCACCATGTATCTCTCTCTTATTTGACTTCAGGAATAAGAACTAAGATTTTGTACAGATATTTTAGGAACACCCTGCACATATATAGTTTAAGTACCAATCAGCATTCAGTTCTATCACAATAAAAGTCAATAGGTACAAAGTTACATGGAATTCTTGGGGACAAAAGCATGATTGTATATCAGGTCAAAAAAATGTTTCAACATAAGTTATCTTATAGTTTGAGACATATGGAGAGGTGTGAGCATCAACCCAAAGGCAGCATCCTTAAGATTGGCTCCACGTAAATTTGCTTCATGTAGATCACTTCCAGACAAATCACAATTCTGAAAATGAAATAATAAGAAGGAAATGTTCACATTGAAATGCTTATGTATGAGTATTCACCTCTAAATCAGCACCTGCCAGAACAGCAGCTCTCAAATCACAGTTCTTCAGATTGGCATTCTTCAAAGTGGCAACTCTCAAATTGACACAGCCCATGTCACTTCCTTCAAGAATAGCCCCTTTCAAGTTAACACTCTCCAAATTGGCTCTGCTCCCACCTGGATCTTTGAAATTGCAAGTTTTCATGGACACACCTTCCAAATTTGCACATAAACCTTTCACCCCTAGAATAACTCAATACAAATTCTTTCATCCTGTATCATTCAATCAAGCATAATAGCATAAAACATTGGTTTTAGTCCAATAAATAAAGGGAAAAAGTTAACATTAATTACGCACTATTTTCATCTTCCGGTTGGAAGTAGCTTTTGGTACCTCATTGAACATGAGACAAAGTTTGACTGGAAAACGCGTGCGATGGCGGAGAAAATGGCCCCAAAAGACCAGAAAGATAGGTTTTCAGCCTATATCTCCTAAAATATGGCAGTTAAGATTTTCGGTTCAGATAAAAATTGAAGTTCAGTTAATTTTCTACAAAAATGGTCCTTATCATTTTTCTCGAAAATTTGCCCGGTTTCGAGAAAAACGGCACGAAGCGCACCTCGAATAATGAGCTTCTGTGTTGTATGCCGGAGAGCACAGTCCGTGTATTTACACATCGGCGGGGGGACAAATTATTCAATAACTTTGTTAAAAATGCATATTTTCTCATGATTCAAAGTTCATGTGAAAGAGGAATTCTGCTGCTATCATACCCTGTGAATTGAGTCACGCTTGACTCTTTTGGCCATATCGGAACATGGGTCAAACTTTCTGCTCCCGGTCAATTTTGACCTCGCCAGGAATTTGTTCCTATTTTTTTTGTATTGCACTAATTTACTCAAAATGTTCTTGATTATGGGTCCTCATAAGGTCCTTTGTCATCCCTGAAATTTGTATACCCTAATTTTTTTTTTTATTTTCATTCAATCTTCATTTATTGAATCCCAATTTTTTGCTGTTTTTGAAGCGTGGGGAAATTTTGTGAACAACCATCAATTAAAAATTTATACATGATCCGATTGGTTTCTATGATACATCATTTGAAAGCTAAGAAGATCTACTTTTCGATTGTGCAATTACTTTTTTAGACGAAGTCGTCCATTTTTCAATAAAATTAGAAAAAGCGGGGTCAAGGAAAAAACCTCGGAAAAAACGCACTTTTTTTTTCGGTGGATTTTTTCTCCGTGCTCTTTATTTCTAATATTTTAACACCTTAACTAGTGTAACGGGGGAATTCCCACCTTTCCATCGATGTTTATAAGTCATACCTTTGATATCCCGGGAAAAAAACAGTATATCTAAATGTACACGCTATAATTTATTACTTTCGTTCCTCCGTCGTTGGCCGCGTGTGTGCTCTACGTGGCGCTCGGGTCGTCTGCTACAAACCATGCAGCCACGCAGGGTATGATAGCAGCAGAATTCCTCTTTCACATGAACTTTGAATCATGAGAAAATATGCATTTTTAACAAAGTTATTGAATAATTTGTCCCCCCGCCGATGTGTAAATACACGGACTGTGCTCTCCAGCATACAGCACAGAAGCTCATTATTCGAGGTGCGCTTCGTGCCGTTTTTCTCGAAAACGGGCAAATTTCCGAGAAAAATGATGAGAACCATTTTTGTAGAAAATTAACTGAACATCAATTTTTATCTGAACCGAAAATCTCTAACTGCCATATTTTAGGAGATATTGGCTGAAAACCTATTTTCATGGTCTTTTGGGGCCATTTTCTCCGCCATCGCACGCGTTTTCCAGTCAAACTTTGTCTCATGTTTAATGAGGTACCAAAAGCTACTTCCAACCGGAAGATGAAAATAGTGTGTAATTAATGTTAACTTTGCCTTTTTTTCCTCCATTTATTGGACTATTTTGAGACTTTCAATTAGGTTAGGTAGAAAATATCTGATAGTCTTACCTAAAAGTTGTGCATTATCCATATTAGCATGAGACAAATCTGCTCTTTCAAGACAACACCAACTCATATTTGACCCTGTCAATTTACAACCTTGCAAATTAGCATACTTGAAATTGATGTGCCTCAAATCCAACCTACTTAGATCAGCACCTGATAAATTCACACCCTGAAACCTCAGTTCAGCAGTATAAGGACACTTGATTAGTGCATCTATCACATCTCTACGGGTCAAAGGCAAACTGTCTCTAGGCGTCTTCTCTTTGGTTATTATTTGTTCAAGCATAGGAATGATTGAATCTATGCCAAAAAAACGAGCTTCTTCTAAAATGCCCTCAGGGTTGACATTCAAGTCATAGACTAACTGTCCACAACGTAAATAATTCAAAATTGGTTCAAAGTATGTAGGGCTCCTGTCTATTAGATAAGCTCCATCCACATCTAAGCTACTTGGTGTGAACAAGTAACCCTCACCACCTTCAGAAAACATTCTAGCCAGCATACTAGTAGGTTCATTGGCTGTCAATGTTCTTTTAGAAGTTGTGAAATGTTTCCCTCCAACATTTAGAGTAACCCATTCAGAATGTGTATCTTCACAGGTTTTCATAAAATCCTTTCCATCTGAAACATACAGTGTATCTTTGTTGCGAATATAGGAGATGTCTCTGATCTCTGATCCATCATTGAGGAACAATCTTTGGGCTTCAATGTTGAATTTACAGGAAGCATTCTGCAGTAGTACATCTAAGCTCTGGGGAAGTTGAAACACCTGTAAAGTAAAGGAACATTATCATTTCACGATTCCCAAATAGAAATATGTTTACCACTCCACTAGAGTTGGAGCCATTCATGTGTAATGTCACATACTTTACACTCATAATACTAATTATGCTCAAATTAGAACATCAAAATGTATTAACTAATATTTACAAAAGACTAATCAATCATCCTTTTAGTAACACTGCCACTAACTACCATGATCTCGATCACGATTATATTAAAAATTAAAATTGGAATTCATCATTCAGCAGAACCACCATGACCATGATTTGAATAAAAATAAACAATAATATCACTTCTGACAGTTCTGACTTCTGACATTTCAGTCATTACATTAACATTAACATGACAGTCATGACACATCCACAGATCCAAGGCTATTCAACTCTATGTTGCCTCATATTGACCTGGCCTGACGTCACTGTTTCCCCATCGTCTTTTGTCGAACGGCAAAATGAAAATGGCGGAGGTGAAAAACAAAACAAACAAATTTAGCATTGTGCAATCAAGTGAATATTGATAAATTTTGAAGTTTTCCAATATGTTTTTGTATCCAAGAGATTGTTCACTGTTTTCCCAAAACATGCAGCAAGTACAAAAGACTGAAGACAGAAATCTAGAAAGATATGTTCCTCAGTGCTCCTGTTGTACAGACACATTACAGAAACTCAGTCAAATTCTTATTGCAATACCACTCCATTAGGACTGATTACTGTTGGCATTAATAAGGATATGGAGGTTGAACTACTGATAAAGCATTTTTTAATAAAGAAAATGTTATTGGGAAGTCTGAACCTAATGATGAAATCATGGTGGATAAGGGCATGCTGACAAGGGATGTGAAGAAATATCTTGAAATTGATTAGGCCATCATTTCTGAGAAACAAGAAACAATTAACTAAAGAGGATTTCCTTCTGGATAAATTGAATGATTCTAACTCACTGGTTTTATTTCAGTATCAATTTGGAACATATTATTGTTTGAAAATGCAATAATAAAAAAATGAATTAATAAAGAAGTCATCACAATTCATTCCATTTTATTAATGCAATAAAAGTGCAACATAATGGAAATATCTTTGAGATATCTTCCTCATAACATTAACACAAAATGTATCACAAAAAAACTGGAATCTTTATGTAAGTTTTGGAGGAAGAAGAATCATACAAGAGAATTAGTTTCTTTCAAGTTCATTAGGGACATTTTAGGGCCATTATTCCCAACTGAATTTATCCATAATAAGTGTGTCTCTCTTCCAACTTCACATTTTTTATACCATCTCCTATCAAGAAATGGCATTGTTCCACAAAATGTTCTGAACCTTTACCTAAAATTTTGAGAAAATAATTCAAGCTGAATGTAATACACATTATTTAACAAACCTCTATGTAAGGACCTCAGTAAGGACACTTATTTCAATTATTTCCATGGTCTTCCTTCCTGAAAAATGATTTCATATTGAGAAAATCCTAACCATGGAAAATATTGGGACACAAATTTGTTTGCATGATTTGAAATTCAATATCATTTTCAATGAACATTTTGAAAGAGCTTTGGATTCATATTCAACTCCATGCTGAACAAATTTATTTGAAAAATCCTTTGGAAAGAAGAAGTTGATTGCCTTTCTTCCCAAGACTCCTTGCTACATGTAAAAATGAAGTAGCAAGTATAAGTAAAATTTAATAAACTCACCAGTGTTCCTGAGTACCATGCAATAGCTAGTTGTTTACATTGAGTTCATTGGCTTCCAAACAAAATAGACTGATATACCCTGTAAAATTATTCAATTATATAAAGGAAGAATGATTTTAGGGGGTCATCACTTTCCTTCTTTTAATAAGCAGGTAGCAGAACTATTGAAATAATGGTTTGGCTGTATAATAGATCATTGATTGATCTACTCTCTTTTTTCAATTTTCACCACTTCTGTTTGTTATATATGCAGCTTCACATATTCCAAGTCTTCATTCCTGAAATTTCATGTATTTTTTACCTGTGTGTGTGATAGATCAAAAGTGCACCTTCCTACCTGTCAATATAAGTCCCTATAAAATGTGTATACAAAACCGTGACATGCCTGCTTCACAGGGACATTCACATTGCCACAGCTCATCATTTTCCTTTGGAATTATCTGAATCTCATGTGGAGGCTGCCAAACAGGCATTTCATAACATTTGTTTGTTCTATATCCACTCTTGACTCCACACAATAATATTATGATATTTATGATGTGACCAGCCTTGAATAATACTACACCATATTATTATACAACCTCTCACACTCTTTCAAAGATATCTTCAGTCTTCTTGTCACCCTGTTTTCAACTAAAGTCTAAAATTCGCGATTCTTTCGAATTCAAATTCAAAAATTTTTTCAATTCATTTGACAGTGACACAAACGAAATCTACAATCACGTGGTGGGGAAACACTGACGTCACGCCCCTCCGCGCACCCCCGCACCATAATGCTATAGGTCGCGTGCAAGAACTGTCAGATGACCGACCCTGGAGGCAAAACATATTTGTTTACAAGTGATCGAAATAGTTTTCCACAATTATTTTGGCATATGAATCGTATTTTTCCGCTATTCATCAATTCGCTAATGCCATCACATTGTGCTGTTGTAAAATGCACAAAAACTGCAGCGGAAGATGAAGAAATCCGGATGGTAAATTATGATTCAAAAGTAAGTACCTACTATAGTCACTCACATAGTTTTCATTTTTGAAATTTGGTTATTTCTCTGATTTCTCATCGGAGTTCCTTCTGCAATAGGATCAGCTGATAGAAATATACCTGAAATTTCTAGAATAATGCAAGAAGATCGGATTCATGCAATCAATCGGTAGGACTAGAGTCCCTGTATATAACTTAGACAAGAGTCCGGACACAGCTATACTTCTGTCCTTTTCTGTTTTCAAAAAATGCATTGATGATTGAATAAAGGAATAAGACATATATATCGAGCACTGTCTTCTCAATTCCCCTAGTATCAATGATTGTCAGAAACCCTTTTGAGGGTTAGATTATTTGTCAAACCGTTCATAGCCGTAGGTAGAAGTGAGAAATAGGGCTATTCTAACTAAAAAAATTGTTCTAAAATTGTTCTATCCGTCATTCGGAACTAGAATAACTATTAGATTTTTGAATAATGAACAACAGGGTGTTCAAATTTCGAATCGATAATTTTCATAATCAATTCCTGAGATGGCTATTGCAAATTTTTGTCATCAGATATTTCTTCACTTCATTAGATATAAGAAAGATAATTTAAGTGTTCTACGTGGTATCACATATAGCCAAGAAAATATAGTTGTTTTTCGTTGGGATATAAAAAAATAGAAGATATATAATTGTTTCAATATAATTTTCTCCGATTCTCTCAATTTAATAACACTCATCAGAAATAAAAGTGACAAAATCAAAACAACAATATATTCGATAGTGAGTGCTTTATTAATTGTGTTTTCTACCTCTTCCTGCAGTCTACATTCACCTGTACATTTCGAATTTGATCTGAATTGATAACACCGTGGACTGATGATATAGCACATTGCAGTTTCCCTAAATCTTCTAGTTTTGATTCGAGTTTTGATTTCAAACTTTCAATTTCTTTCCGCATCATCTCATTCTCATTTTCTTTCTCTGTGAACGTATCATTCAGTAATTCCAATACGATGACGACGGGACTCTTTTTTTGAACGTCTCTATTTCATAAATTGACGGCACAGCAGACATTTTCAATTTGAAATCCATCAGCTTGAAAAAATCTCTATCAAAATGGGCCTGAAATTCATCCTTTTTGTACTGTTTTCACAAGTCAATTTGAATATTTACCTCACATATTTCGGATTTCTTGAAATTAATTTTCCATTCTGGACGTTTCATTGCATTCTTCCATGACATTGTCTTTGAAGGATCATTCGGAGAATTGAATAACTTGAATCTCTTTTCTAATGAATTATCGCAATAATGTACGCAGCAGGACATTGAAATAATTTGAAATGGTAAATTTTGGCGGTCGTAAAATTTTAAAGTGACAGTGACAGGCATTCGGAATAATTAAAAAAAGCGGGCGGGACGACTATGGTGTTTCGTCACATTGTCAGGTGGGCAAACCAAATGGAACAAAATATTAAAAACCCCAACGGCTGTCATTTTTGTGTCCGGACTCGTAGGGTCTGACATGCTGACGATCGTGTGTGTTGTAGACATTTTCAATCTATTAACAGCATTAGCTTGTATTGCAGAAGTGGCAGAAGGCAGAAGGAATTTTAATAAGGAATGACAACATTTCATAATGCTAACTATGTGAGATTACTATTTACCTGAAAAATCATATTCCCTAGTCTCTTGCTGCATTTTTTGTGCATTGTACAACAGCACAATGCGAAGGCATGCATGAATTAATGAATAACGCAAGAAACACGATTCGTATGCCAAAATATTGTGAAAAACTATTTCAACCTTTTGATTTCTCTGTAACCAAATAAAAAAGTGAGGTTGTGTTTCAATATTTCACAGAAGAATGAGGTTGTGTTTCAATAATTCACAGAAGAATGAGGTTGTGTTTCAATATTTTGCCTCCAGGGTCGGTCTTCGTGCACGCGACCTATAGGTCGCGTGCAAGAACTGTCAGATGACCGACCCTGGAGGCAAAACATATTTGTTTACAAGTGATCGAAATAGTTTTCCACAATTATTTTGGCATATGAATCGTATTTTTCCGCTATTCATCAATTCGCTAATGCCATCACACTGTGCTATTGTAAAATGCACAAAAACTGCAGCGGAAGATGAAGAAATACGGATGGTACATTATGATTCAAAAGTAAGTACCTACTATAGTCACTCACATAGTTTTCATTTTTGAAATTTGGGTATTTCTCTGATTTCTCATCGGAATTCCTTCTGCAATATGATCAGCTAATAGAAATATACCTGAAATTTCTAGAATAATGCAAGAAGATTGGATTCATGCAATCAATCGGTAGGACTGGTCTGACATGCTGATGATCGTCTGTGTTGTAGACATTTTCAATCTATTAGCAGCATTAGCTTGTATTGCAGAAGTGGCAGAAGGCAGAAGGAATTTTAATAAGGAATGACAACATTTCATAATGCTAACTATGTGAGATTACTATTCACCTGAAAAATCATATTCCCTAGTCTCTTGCTGCATTTTTTGTGCATTGTACAACAGCACAATGCGAAGGCATGCTTGAATTAATGAATAACGCAAGAAACACGATTCGTATGCCAAAATATTGTGAAAAACTATTTCAACCTTTTGATTCCTCTGTAACCAAATAAAAAAGTGAGGTTGTGTTTCAATAATTCACAGAAGAATGAGGTTGTGTTTCAATATTTTGCCTCCAGGGTCGGTCTTCGTGCACGCGACCTATACTATGAGGTAACCTTATAGAAGTTAATAGACCTTGCCACAGATCGATAAAGATAATGACATATTAACAATTATGGCCGTGTCGGGCTGGACACCTGCTGTCAAATATGAGAAGATAGAAGAAAAAGACAAGATGAAAGTCTAGAGACTTCTTATTCAGAGGTCACAAATGGCTAAAGACGTGGATGTTTAGATTCATAAGAAAAGAACAGTCTGAACATTGTGACATTGATGTTCTTCTTACCTTTTTCGTCCATATTTCCATCGTGATTTGAACTAAAAGGTAGTTAGCCAGTAGCATAACATTTTCAAAAATGATTATTTCATTATATGATATACTACTTATTAATATTATTAATAATTTTTGTCAGATCAACGTTCAATGTTCAATTATCATGACAAACTTGAACTTGATATGAATGAACTGAAGAAAAAGTCATCCTCTTTTAAATCGGCAAGGTGAGATCTGAGATGTCAATTCTTGACTTCTTGAGTAAACAAAACAAGTCTCATCTTCGTCTAGAATGGATGTTTATATTGGCTGGAAAAAGAAAAATGTAGAAATTTCATTGCGGAAATAAAATATCCCATTATAAAACCAGAATAATGGTTAATGAAACGATTGACGTAAATAAAGACGATGATGTAAGAGACGTTTAATTAAATTTGTCAAAATTCTATAAATAGGTGATTTTTCCTGTGCCACAGTTCCACAGTTGATGAAAAATATGGCACTAAAATCCTGGAAGTGATCAATAGTCATCTTTCAGAGTGCCTGCGCGTTTGGCTTTTATGAAAATTGAATATAATTCTCAGGAAAGTCATGCCTATTATTCGAAAATGATTTGTTTTCGGTTTTATTTCAGTTCCTGAAATGAGTGCTCAGTGTAGTTGTAGTGAAAATATATTGAATACCCAACATGTACTACTTAAAAATAGTAGTTTATTTTTGAGCAAATGCAAGTGAATTTATCTTGGAGCTAGTCCTTCTCTTAATTAGAATTTAGAATTTAGTTGTAATTATGGATTCAACAACAATACCTGTTTTACTAGTCACAGCAAATGTTGGATCAATATTTGAAGATGTAAGTAGAATTATCTTTGGTTACTAGTTCATAATAGTTGTATGATTTTAGCCAACTGAAATGCTTAAAATGTGGACTGAAGAATTCCTTTCTACAGTATCAAAACTGGATCCTAAATTCATAGCTTTACATTGCCAAGAAGTAGGAGGAAAGAATTATGAACTCAGTATGAAACATGTAGAACATTTTGTCAAATTACTGATGGCAAGTAATGAATTACGCTTATTTGATAAAATCAGGGTATTCCTAGATGAAGATTACAGTTCTGCTGAACATTTCACAGTAAGATTAATCACAGCTAGTGACTCCCAAAGTGTTATTTAATCAATGTGGTATATTCCAGGCTTTGGGAAATTTATATTTTGTACACCATTCCTTAGAAAATATTTTGATATGGGATTTCAAAAATTCAGTTTTCCTTCCAGTGCAGGGTAAGGAAATTCACTCTGGCAACATTGAGGCTGTCATTACCAAAGAAAAAGCCAAGTTTCCACAAGACTTTTTTCCAGAAGTGAGTTATTTGTGTGTTGTATCTGGTAGGTATTATAACATGAACCCCTGATATAAAATCACTTTTGCAATTTCAGTGCAAATGGTCTAGGAAAGGATTCATGCGCACTAGATGGTCTTTGAATGGTAGTGTGGTTGACTTGGTGAATATCCATTTATTCCATGATGCTTCCAATTTCATTGCAATGGAAAAGTATCCTTCTGTGTATTGCAAAAACAGAAGACGAGCTTTACAGCATACTCTGCAGAGATTCCACAATGACATCTATGGTAGGGCACCATATATTCTATTTGGAGACTTCAATTTTCGCCCTGATACTGATGGAGTTGTGAAGGTTAGAAATAGCTATTGACAATTAGTAATCACTCTTTGATAACAATTTATCTTGAAGAAATTGACTAGTGGACTGAAAACTACAAGGATTCAAAACAATAAGAATAATGAATATAGTAAAATCCAGTTTAGCACTGAGGATAGCCAATTGGTATTGACTGTTGGAAAGAAAGAATTCAACCATTTGGATCACCAGACAGTTTTCTTGAATGGGATGGAATGGGTGAGTCTAATATATTTGAATTGAATCAATAATTGAAATTCCCAAACATGTATTAATCACTGGGATTATGTTGTAGAATATTTAAATCAAACAAATAAAATGTGGTACTTTATGTTCAGGAGCCAACTGAAAATTGTACCTATGTGAAATAAACTCAATCTGAATATTCTTCTCTCAAACAATAATCAATTTTTTTTTTCAATTAATAATCTGAGCCAAAATGACAAAACTTTAATTTTTTCAAAAGGTCAGTTGGCATAACATGCATTTTATGATGAATGGCATATGGTCAAAATACTATGTAAAATTATAATGCTGTATTTTTATGATGAATCACCTTAACATGTTATAGTAGTTCAGATCAGTGACAGTGAATCATTGTACTGTTTTGTTATCTGCATTGTGATAACAATATAATAATAATACTTCTTTATCTACAGCTGTGTTTCCTGTAAGGGTTTTCAGGAAATTAGTGTCAAAGATTTTTTAGGAAGAACATGAAATACTACCATTATCACATAGATAATACCTAGTGTCACAATATGAGTAACAACCCATAGAAAGAAATGTTGTTTTGTTTTGTATTCTGATGTTCCCTTCTTCAGAAATAAGACATGAAATTCCAATATTACAATATATTATTCAAAAATATATGATTCATTATTAGTATTCTTACTTCACCATTCTTTTTGAAATGCTACTTTAGGGTAAAAGTTCTTACAAAATTGTTTCTAATTATAATTGAGAGTAAAACACATTTTGCACTAATATTAATTATAACAATAAATAAATAAGATACTGAGGAATTTATCGAAATCACAGCAGTGTGGATATAGTTTAGAATACAGTTATTCTTGAGAACACTACATATAATCCAAAAAACGTTGGCTTTTACCCTTTTACTCTTTTACTTTTCTTGTAGTGGGATATGGCATTATAATCACTGTCAATAGTTGAGCATGGGACTCATGGGAGATTATCAACATATAAGCAAATTAATTATATTTGAATAGCCAAGTTGAAATTTGTGTCAAGTTTGCTACAATTGCCAGTCTATAATTGCCTCTATCACTGGCGGACATAAATTTGATTCTTTGAGGTAAAATGAAACAATTGTTATTATCCTAATTGGCGTGGAGAGTTTTTTCCTCATGAATCTGTCACCAGCATTAAGAGAACTGAAAGATATTTGATCATTTTAGCATATTTATTTCTGTCAGAAATCAATGAGATCCAATATTCTGTGGTATTAGCTAGGAAAGTAGTTGTTTTTTCTTATATATTTTGAAATTGTTTTCCATATTTCTTGAAACAGTATGTACACACAAATAATCTTCAGTAACAACCTTGATTATTTTTACTAACAATATGAACCATCCTTATTAGAGCAATGAAGCCAGAAATTGTATTCAGTATCTATGAGTGACAAGGTGAACAACTTTTTGTTGAGTAGCAAAGGGTAGAGATGAGAATATATTCAAATTTTGTTTTTAACGTCGCATCGGGGCCGGATTGAAATATTTCCATTTTAAAGTCTTCAGAATATCAATGTTAATTATTTTCCTTCAGATTCAGAAAGAAGGATATACCCATATAGTTCAGCAACTTGCTCCCCTGGTGAATAATATTTTTGGCTTGTTAGTGTAGACATTGCCAATTTAAGGGTAGAGCTAGTTAGTAGGCTATAGGTAGGTATGATATTATCTATTCATTGGAAAAAACTTAGTTTCCTATACCGTAGAGATACATGAACTAGGACCAAGCTGTTCATTTTTTATTCCTAACCTAACAATTTTTCATGTTGTTAGTTTGTAAATGAAAATTTCTCATTAATTGAAAATCGTGGTTGAAACATATCAAGTATGAAAATCATCTACCCACCTATACTCAAATGAGTACAAAGATCGTTAACTGGCAAGTATCCTCAGAGCCCTCATGTTCAGATCATAGGCATAATATACGATTTGATATGAGGAGAGGACACCCACCAATAGTACAATTTCCTGATCCTAAGTGCACAGACTGGAATGGGTACTGTGAATCTCTCCAGAAGCACAAACACAGAATGAACGTGTGGCAACCACCATTTTAACGCCTTTACCAACTCAGAACATATCGATTTCAGACAAATCTCACCTAATTCAACCATAGACTTTGTAAAAACGATGTGGATTGTACAATGAACTGTAACCTCTAGGGGTGAGCTCTTACACTGGGGGACGAAAAACCGAGAGCCCAAAGATACACAAGGGATCTGAAAGCTAGCCTATGCAGTCTCATAGAGAAGGCGGGCCTAGCCAAAGCACACTAAACGATTTTGAGGACAATAGGATCTGAAAAGATCGTAGTCTGGAGGCAAATAGCCCAAAGGCCCCATTCTAATGTCATCTTATCTTTCCTAAGCTCAAGTCGTTCGACAAGGAGGTGGATGGCTTCGAAGACACTCTCACTGAGTACCCCGTTACCTTCTGCCTCTCCTACCCCTTTTTGCATAAAAACATCTAAAAACAGACTCCGAATATATTCTGCATTACCGATCTCTGCCCTTCGCTACTCAACAAAAAGTAGTTAGTTAGATCATCTAACTAATACCATCCAGTGACTCTACTATAAAGTAGGTCGTTTGACGGGTTATGTAGACTATTATTAGGGTTATGGGGATCAGCCGAGGTTGTTAAAAAATAAGGCCTGGTAAGTCTATCAAATTCTATCTCCAGAAAAACCTGTCAGAATTTACAACAAATCATAACATGTCCCCTTATAGAAAAAAACCGAGTGGACGGTGTTCGTGTTGCATATAGTCCATAATGACGATCGAGTCGTCTCCAGAGTACCCCTTTTCCGATGATTAACAATCTCGAAATCCCTGCTTGCAGACTGTCGGGGGCGCGTACTATCCTTCCTGAGCGAGAGGATTGTGTGCGTCCTATCTTGATTGGTTCCTGAATAGGCATTAAAGTATCTTGCCTGATCTCCGGGCGACTCATCGACAATAACTTATCACCATTGACATGGCGTGTGGTCATGCTTGACGGTGGTCGAGTTTGTAACTGTCCCAAGCGCAGCAGTTTCGTCAACCTGTCACATTTTCAAATCTGGTTTTCTGCAGTTGATGTGCGCTGGATGTCCATATTCGATCAGTGGCACAGTATACACCAACAGCAAACGTTCTGACACTAAGTGAAATTACTGTTTTCCATATACTGTGTCATTGGTCTGATCATTGACACAGTATACACCCTTACGGGTATTGATTCGTAGATGTTTGCTGCTGTTATGATATCGACCTTGGTATTTGTATGTTAGAGCTCTGAAATATTTTGCTCTGGCTATTGCTTTTCTTTTCATCAGTGCAGTAAGGGATTGAAGTTAATTTTTAAGCCATAGTCTAGACTAGATTAATTCCAAGATATTTGAATGAGGTACTCGGCCATATTGTCAGTATGAATTGTTCTAAAATTGTTCTATCCGTCATTCGGTTGCCCCTATACGAGCAACCCTCAGAAGTCTTCGAGAGTCTTGTGCGAGCAAGGAATGACGGGGGCCTCACCTTTTAACGTGTGATCCCAAACACTTCCTTGGGCCACCAAGCGAATACGGATTAGAATAGTGACACTCTGTCCGCACGGCTTCCTGGCCCCCAATTGATGGCATGCAATCCGCAGCGGCCGAAAGGGCTATAAAGGGTTACGAAAAAGTGAAGGAAATTGTATGCCGATGTGAAGAATTTAAGTTTCAGTAACAAAAACACTCCGGAAAAATTGGCATGCATAAAAAGAACGTCATCTGTCACCATCTCCTGGTCTGTACTGTTAGTGTTGTCTTCGAGAGTCTTGTGCGAGCAAGGAATGACGGGGGCCTCACCTTTTAACGTGTGATCCCAAACACTTCCTTGGGCCACCAAGCGAATGCGGATTAGAATATTGACACTCTGTCCGCACGGCTACCTGGCCCCCAATTGATGGCATGCAATCCGCAGCGGCCGAAAGGGCTATAAAGGGTGACGAAAAAGTGAAGGAAATTGTATGCCGATGTGAAGAATTTGAGTTTCAGTAACAAAAACACTCCGGAAAAATTGGCATTCATAAAAAGAACGTCATCTGTCACCATCTCCTGGTCTGTATTGTTAGTATAAATAATCAAGGATATTTTCTGTTTCCCGCAGCTAAAGTCGTTCGACAAGGAGCTGGAGGCTTTCGAAGACACCCTCACCGAGTACCCCGTGACCTTCTGCCCGTCCTACCCGTTCGAAGAGAAGGTCTCGCACCCGACCAGCTACATGCCGACGAGGTGCCCCGGCTGGTGCGACAGGGTGCTGCTCAGCAAGCAGGCCGAGCAGCTGGTAGCGGAGGACCGCAAGGTGGACTACGGCTTGATGGGGGTCGGCGCGTGTATGGGGGACCACAAGGTGAGTCTTTGGTCCTTGTGCGGGGGAAAAATAAATAATAGTAAATTGCAAATAGAGAGAAACTCAAAGTCATTACCACAATAGTTAGTAGTCATAAAATGAACGAAAATAAGGAGAGAAAAACAACTCCTTTCCTGGCTATATGCCACGAAGAACATTGGATTACTCCTTCCGAAATCTATGCAATAAATGGGAATAGGAAGGAAACACTAAAGGGCGCCGTACATTATGCTATTTCTCGGCAAGTTTGAGGCAATGCAATTATCTCGCAATTTTCTCAATTTATTATTAGTCGCCGTACATTGACATATTTCTGTCATGATTTCTTGTTCATATTCACTATTTTCAGGTTTTTTGAGCCTTCAATGTACTTTTTGAGGTTATTTGGTGTTTCAGGCCACGTTATGGAGAAAATTTATATTTTATCAAGATGCTACGATGAATATTACTTGAAATTTTACTAAACTTGCCTTGAAATTGCAGGAAAAATAGGACTGGTTCTATTACGAAACTTGCCGTGAAATATCATAGACGCATGCGCATTGTTCGATTCAAAATTGCATTGCATCGAACTTGCTGGTAAATAGCATAATGTACGGCGCCCTTTAGACTGTTTCTGTAATAATACAGGGTGCAGTAAATTCTGAATACAAATTCTCATTCAGAAAATGGATGAAAAACTGGCTCCTGTCATACGGACTTTAGTGGTCTGTGTATCTTGTGACTTCCAATGTGGTGACTGGGGTTCAATCCTTGCGAGGAGTCAATTTTTTTCTCACTCAATTTTTCAAAAATATACTTTTTAGGAAAAAGATTGATTTAGGACAAGTTAGGTTGAAAGCACTTTCCTTATTCATGCAGAAGAGATATTTTCCTCCTTAAAATTATCTTATGTCTTATTAATTTTTCAAAAATATACCTTTTGGGCAAAAGGTCGAAAGCACTTTCCTTTTTCATGCAGAAAAGTTATTTATCTTCCTCATATTACCTTATAAGTCTTATAAACACGAATGACCTTCTGATAACCTTGAGGTTTGAAAGATTCGCTGGTATAGCTAGACGCTTGTGTGTCCTTCAACTACCTGTCAAATGACGTAATTTTGGAATGACTAATATGGTGATGTTTTTTCAAACATGTAAAAATCTTGGTTGCCATTGCTGTTGATTTTTGTGATGGACGATATAAATATGTAAGCAGGTATGTTCAGTTTGGCACCTAAGGCAAAAATAACAATAAAAATTTGCCAGAAAAATGTTTCTCATCATTCCAGCTACAAAAAAATAGTACTTGCAGTGAATCTGGAGTTCACTGGACAAATACTACATAACCTGTTTCGCTGTGAGATTCATTTCAATGTGGGTTTATTGAATTCCCAACCCATCTGCTTTTTGATATATTGCGACACTCAGGAAGTCTAGTTTTGTAGTAAAAAAAAACAATGACCATGTCCATATTTTACAAAACATGAAACTTGTTTATGGATACCAAGTACAATAAATAATAGAATGATCTGAACATTATTTGGTGACTGGTGAGAATATGGTGAAGTTAGAAGTTTGTTTTCTTATTGTTATATTTCCACGTCATCAAGAGCTACTGTGTTTGAAAGGGTCGATTTTCATTATTGAACAAAAAATATTTGTGATGATTTAAAATCCTGAATGATTGCATAAAATGCGACATAATTATGAATAGGTTTTTATTAATGTTGAAAAACATCCATTTCTCACTAATTTTTGTTCTCATCTTCTATTTGTGGTATGCAGCCAGTTTTTCTGAACTTCCACATGACAGTTTCTGAAATATAAGGTACCTATTGTGTGATTTTTTAGTAGTTAGATATTGACGAATTATTTCATGTAGTTCTCGCTAGCATATCATCATCATGTTGGCATTGACACATTATTATTATAGTGGAGTATCGAGTATACAGAAGGCTAAAATATTGTGTTCTGGTATTATTTTGTAGAAAACAGAGTGGGTGCATTATTTTGATTGATAGGTGCATTAGTTTTTTTTTTCACTTTCTGAAAATGTTTCTTATGATATTTTGGACAAGTTTGAGATCATCAGAGAAATGCAGAATTACTTGTTATGGTTTTTATAATTTCATATCCTAAACTCTTTATACTCACAGGGGATGCACTTTGGAACATAGGTATGTTGACTTGCACTGTTTAACTTGAAATAAACAAATTAATTGGATCCGGAGTTGTTCGTCATTTTGACCTTGTATGATCGTGTAGGTATGTCCTTAAAATATATAAAAATGAATCACCCTATACACCGGGTGGCAACGAGAACAGAATCGCCCCTGTAATTCTTAAGTGATTCAAGATAACAATTTGACCTACTCAAATGTGATTTAAATCTGTTGATGCCATTATGGTATTATATAAATATCCCAATAGAGTAACATAATAACATAGCGTCAAGACAATCTCAATATTTTAGATTTGTCGACATTTTCGAAGAGCTTTTTGAGTACATAATATGGAAAATCGGTCAACGGATGGTCAACGGGTTCAAAATTCGGAGGGTGTTGCGAGTTGAAATATTACGGCCTTAGAAGTGATTTTTTTTTAAGCGTTACAGAGGTGGCCCGGTTTTTGTGTCCACCCGGTATTTTGTCCTAGACAAACAATCACCCTATATTCCACCCCCTGATTTTTCAGCCGGTATACCTGAGGCTGGACCTGAAGCAGAACGCAGGTACCCTAGTTTGTTGTGATCACGCACCTTTCGCTTGCTTGCCTGAAAAATGCCAGTGTTGCCACACGTTCGCTTCCGTCGAAATAAACGTCATAGACATGAGCGACTGCAAAACCAACTTCTCGGACGCATCACCCATCGATGCGAAACTGTTGCACGAACCCATAACCAGGGAGATGCTAACGCACGACCCTTACACCCCTGAAAGCGTAGATTCGCACTTGCACTCGCCCGTTCCCGAGTTGACCCGCGCCCCAGGGCAGGAAAAAGAAGAAGAAGAAGAGGAGGCGCGAAGGGGCTCGGTGTCGCCTGCGCAGCTCAAAAGCCGGCTAGAGGGTGTGTTGCGCGAGCTTGACCCACCCAAAGCGATGAAACGGTCCACGTCGGAGAAGGTGGTCTTGGCGGGGTCTGAGGGCGGCTTTTTCAGGGACAGGGCGTTGTCCGAGGTGCCCAAGGGCGTCCACGCGAAGCTTATCTCGACCGACAGCGTGGGCTCATTGCACAGGTTGCAGAGCCACCACAGCTCATCTGACGAAGACTGGTTCGAGTTTGAGGAGTCTGAAACAAAATGCATCGACTGTTCGCAGGAGATTGTCAAGGAGGGTGTGACGGATGTTGCTGTTTATAAGGGGAAGGTGGAGAAAAAGAAGAATAAGAGGAAGAAAAAGCACTGTAGGCTTTGCGATGAGTTGAAGTGTTGCAGTTGCGCTATTGTATAGTAAGATTCTCACTCGCACCTCTAGTGACAGAATCTGAAGCATTCTGAGAACGACACTTTTGTCAGCTGTCGAGCGAGAATTTGGTGCTACTTTTTATTCCGTCTCACTACAAGCAATGACGTAGTATGACTGTTGGCAGTTGTCAAAAAATGGAATTAGATTGACGAAAAATGAAACTGTTTCAAAGTGGAAGATAGTAAATTTAGTAGAGATTTTTATCGTAAGGTTCACGAGTTTATGATTCTTTCAAGTAAGACCGGTTTCATATCTTCATTCCCAGATAAAATTAATTCTATGGATCTCAGAGAGATTTCTCCAAGCACCACAATCACTGCACCAAATATGCGTTGCTTCATTTAATTCATTTTCTTGATTTTTGAATCTAGTATTATGATATTGAAATTATTCGGAGCCCGAATATATAAATATGTCCATTTTCTCATGCGAGGTCATGACATTCCGCGTTTTATTTGTAAGCGTCATTCTGTTCCCGCCGCCGTTACCAGAAATAAACAAATAAAACACAAATATGTTTTGCGATGTAACTTTCATTAGTTGTGTCAATGGAGCACTGTTAGTGACGTCATATGACGTAAAATTGTCGGCTATTGATCAGCTGATGGGGAGACAAGCATAAACATTTTCCGTAAGGCTACATGCAACTTTCTTGCACATTTCCCGGTATAATACAATACCTGGCGCATTTATTTATTGACATGTTTATTAATTCATGCATTGTGAATACTGTGAGAAAAGTGAATGAGTTCAATGAAGAGTTCTAATTGGTTTATTTGTCCATTTAAAATTATTGGAATCACTTGAAGTTTAGTGATTATACACTCAGTTTACAACAACGTATACACATTTTTCTCCCAGAGCAACAAAATCACCAAAGGTTCAGAGAGCATAATATCATAATTCACACAAAGCTATGTTTGTAACTATTATTGACATCATATAGGTTGATGGATTGATGATGAATCAATTTCTGACTGAAATTAGCAATAGGTATAGCAAATAGCTCTGTGTATTTAGCACTTTGCCAAGTTAGTTTTAATACCTTTCTGATGATGGTCAACTGGATAGAATTTGCCTGTAACACCTTTACTTCAACCAACACTGTTGCTGGATATAGCTTAGCGGCTCATTTGGAATGCAACTTTTATTTCTTTATTTTTTCAAATTATTCATCTGAATTTGTAATCGTATAGGCCCATACCCAGATATAATATCTAATTTTTTATCAGAACCTACACCTAATAACGATGAATTGAAAGCTAATCAAGTTGTTAAGTGTTATTTTAAGTTTCGTACTAGGACAGTTTTCAAATTGTGCCACTAGACGCGCATTTGTAATCTTTACGTCGCCAATGAAACGGTCGACGTCAGAGAACGTGACCTTGGATCGGGAAACGACGTCTTTGAGGACAGGGCGATGTCTGATGTCCACGTCAATCTCATCTGCTCATCTTCTATGAGTTGGAAGAGTCTGAAACGAATTGCATTGATTATCCGCTGAAGATGGTCATGGAGGGTATAAGGAATGTTGCTGTTTATTGGGAGAACCAGAAGAAATTGATACAATACTGTAGCTTGGCAAAGATTTGAAGTGTTCCGCTACAGTATAGAAACTAGAAAAAGGTGGCAACTGAACCGCTCGCCTAAAGTGATCAAAGCACTGACAAACTATTATCTAGACCGCTAATGTCATAAGAAAAAAGCTATATGCCACTCACAAGATCGAACTGGAGAATATGAATCATCAGCATTTTTAGGCCCGTATTTTTAGTCGTTTTCTCAAGAACTCCTCAAGTATTCCTCATCTTCTGAGGATTCCTTGAGGACACCTCAGTACTTGACTTATTTTATAGATCACCCTTGAGTTACCCTTCTAAAGGTATACAGTTCGATCTCCTGAATAGATGAACTTTTGTCTTATGTCGGTGCATGGCTGAGGTTGCAGAGCCACCTCTGATGAAGACTGGTTCGAATTTGATGGGTCTGCTGTCTATAGGGACGAGCAGTCGAAGAAGAAAACGCACTGTAGGCTTGGCGAAGATTGGATGTGTTGCGCTATAGTGTGATTTGTGGTTGTTGTCGTAGTGATATGTTATTTTTTTGATTCTGTGACTGCTGTAGTATAAGTGTTTGCTTGCAGTTTTGGCACCGTAGTAGAGATTTCACGATAAGACAACGGAATAAGCGTCCAAAATGGGTAATGTTTGAAATTCAGTAATTTTTTATATTCAGGGTGTTAGTGAAAGGGTGCGACAAACTCAGGGGTGCTTCGTTGTATATTTTAGAAAATAAAGTTCATATAAACATGTGTCTTAACTTGCTCCGTTTTTGAGATACAGGATGTTGAAGTCGGAAGTATTCTTTGTTCTTCTTATGACCCCTTCTCTGTATGAGCTTTCATGGTGCCAAATTCAGTATGGTTGAACACTGAAAAAGTATGAAAATTTTGAAATGATCCTTATTGAGGATATTTATTATTCTCAATGGGTGTCTTGAGAGCACCTACATCAAAATTTTGAGTCAACTTGAATTTTTAATGTTACCTCAAAGTTATTATTTCAATTGTTCAATCTTATAAAAATATGCAACTCAGAAAATCCAGTGTCGTACAATGATATTCACCATAAATATCGATAAATTAACCCACTGTGACAACACTGGAAATATTATTTTGTTACTATTAACAAAACCACCAAGTTTCATTCAAATTGATTAAAATTAGGGCACGTCGGCACGTGTTTGTATGAACTGTATTTCCTAAAATATCACAAAGAATCATCCCCTGATGTTTGTCGCACTTATTCACTTATATCCTGTATAATACAATCCAGTTCCACAACTTGTATGGAAAGTGTGTAGAAGAATATACTTAGGTATATTGATATGTAATTCCAACTGTTCCATTCTTTTTTAAAGACAGGTGACTATCAGTTGAATTTCTCTTCTAGGTTTTCTAATTGTGAAATTTTGAACGCAGTGACATTTTGGGTCAAATCGGACGATTTGTTCTTCCTTGAAGTACATTGAAATGATACTAACGTTTTCATTTATAGATAGAAGGAAAGGAAATCTCAATAGTTTATGAAAAAGTAATGATAACCCTGTTTGAAAATAGGTACCATTATCTTATCGTGAAAGAATCGACGTTTTCTTTTCGTTTTTTTTTTCTGTAGAGTTGTTGCACTATACATTTTATTATGACAAATTAAAATTTCAATATTTTATTCGGCTCAGGATTGAATACGACTGAGAGCGACAGTGTGAAGCAAATTGAAGATGCCATGCAACATTCGACTGTGACGCGATACATTTACATACAAAATATCGATAACCCAGTGAAAATTTTTAGGGAAACCGCAGTGTAACCTGTAGCGGCCAGTATCTATATACTCTACTCTTTTAACCCTCGGACGGGCGCGCCTCAAATGAAAACATGGACGGGCGCGCGGCACACTGAGTGCTCCAGTTGTATATATTGTGAACTATTGATATGTTGAACTACTTTTATGTTTTTTGTTCCATATTCAAATTAAAATAACGTTGAAAATGAAAAATGGAACGAATTAGGTCCAACATTTAATGGGGTTATATATAAAAAAATTAGTCAGTATCCTCGTTAGGTGATTCGGTTTGTCTGAGACATTTTGGGTAACTAGTTTCAACAATAGAAGGAGCCATGCACCCAAAAGCCTAACATATATCGCATCTTACAGTAGTGTTCTTATTTCTGGATCTACCACACGTGACACAACGCCATTTTCTCTTCAGGCCAGGTTCTGATTCAATTGCAACTTCTTCGTTTTTGCGTGGCAGAATTATTCGGTATATACTGGATAAAGCTGCAACGACCCCGTAAGGCTCATAGTTTTTCATCTATCGTTACATATGACCCAAGGGAATAAATTTTTTTACAATTTGTAGCTAATTTTTCAAAAATTGTTCTGATTGCAGCCAATTTGTCAGTTTGCTTTCGATGTTCCCTGCTGTCACGATCATCGAATCCGAATGCAACGTAACAAGAATAGAAATCTTTCATAGCACAAAACTGGCCTTGTGATTCCAAATCCACTCTCAGGGTTCCACATATCTTCAAAATTGCAATGATTGTTTCTTTTAGCGCCTATGAAATACGATAATCCAAGTAGGGCTGAAATCCCATTCCTTGTAGTATTTCTAGCATCACGAGCTCTCTGGTATTTCAATGTTGCTCTTTCGATATCTATGTAGAGATTGGTGAACTCCACAATTTCCTCAATCATGAATGAGTCAAGAATCAATTCCAATGCAAAAATTTCGGATGAGATTCCTCTGACGACTTGTTTTGGTCCGGGAGGAACTTTCAACAAATTTTTGTTTTTCACTTTGGAAATGGTTGACACATTCGTTTTGTACCATTTGGTGGCTTTGTCTTCGGCCAAAACAAAATTAGTATCTCTAGCTATTGCATCCTCCGTTTCTGATTCCAAATTCTAATTCTCCGTGCAATATTGTTCAGAATACGAATCATGATCACTATGAGCCACAATTTCCTCATCTTGAAATACGTCTTCATCTTCAATAGGTAGTTCATCGCCTGAAGATTTTCCTAAGATATCGATTTCTTCTCACAGTTCTTCATCTGTTGAGTATTTTCTGGCCCTACAATAATGAAAGATAAAATAATAATATGATTCATAATGCTATAATATTATATTATACAACAGAAAAATCACAGATATAACATCGGTATAACAAGAACAATTTATGAATATATAAATAAAAGTACTCACATGACCAAGCGCGCGGTGCACTCAGTGCGCCAATTCGAGCAGATATGAGAAAATGAGATCGGAAACACACACAAGCTCTAGTAAAGTGTACACAACCATCTCGATCTGAGCACAATCACCTATTACTGGAATACCTGGAGCGTTGGCGATGTCAAAAAATTATATACAGTTTGGCAGGCAGAAACGCCCCGCTGGCGCACTCCGTCCGCCAGCGCGCCCGCTCAAGGGTTAATTCCATATTTTGTAAACATATGTGCACTGATATCTATAATTCAAATTATGGATTCGGAATTTGGAATTTGTGCACTGATAACTCATTCAAATTGTGACTTCGATATTTATTGTGAAGGAGAAAATATATGGGAAACATAATAAACCCCTCACAGATTAGTTTGAGAGAGCCTAACAATGTTTAAGGTTACATCATCATCAATTTTCATCGTAAAAGTAAAAAAATATATATATACAGATTGATTCGTTGGTTTACTTAGAAAAGTTTATTATTTTGAGGCTGAATATTTATTTGTGATGAGATATATTTCACAGTTGAATACTGTCTCTAGGTTAATATTTCTAATGATTATAGAAACGAGGAAAGAAAGTTGAAAAAAAGAAATAATGCCATTTTATTTATAATGTCATCTCCTCAGAGAAAAGTTCGGAGAAAAAATTACTCATTTTCTGTTACTCCGCCATATTTTGAAAATGCAATATTTTCATAGATTAATATTCAGGTTCAAAAACATTTTCTAATTCAAGCAATTCTATCTTACGATATTCTACTGATGAGAAAGATGAAAAAAAGATTTTAAATGATTTTTATATTAGTGGAAATGTTTTATTATTTCTACTTATATAGCCATTATTTTGCACCTTTTAAAATAAAGATTTGAACTAAATGTATTAACTGATTCCAAATTGGCATAGTCTACAGGGTGGGCTACCAGTAACGCCTCGGTCTCTAGAAGGCTAACCACTTATCTAACATAGGCTACCATTTCAAATTATTTCGAAACATACAGGGTGTCCCCAAAAACCATAAAACACTGAAGTTAAACTTTTTTCTATCGAACACCCTATATATTATTTCATTTTGAGATTCTCCCCGATGAGCTGATTTCAACGACCCATCATACTTGGGGTCTAGCAGTTATAATTACTGAAATATAGGGTGTGAAAAATCGAGATTTTCCAAGTTCAAGAATTTTTTGTGTCGAA